TGACTTTATGTTTTGTTTTACCCCATATGTAACTCTGTTGTTTTTATCGCACTGCTTTGCTTTATCTTGGCCAGGTCGCAGTTGTGAATGAGAACTTGTTCTCAACAGGCTTACCTGGTTAAATAAAGGTGAAAAATAAATAAACAAAAAAAAAAACCTGAAAGGCCGCTCAGCAAGGCAGAAGCCACTGCTCCAAAACCGCCATAAAAAAAGCAGACTACGTTTGCAAACTGCACATGGTGACAAAGATCGTACTTTTTGGAGAAAAATGTTCCTCTGGTCTGATGAAACAAAAAATAGAACGTTTGGCCATAATGACCATCGTTATGTTTGGAGGAAAAGGGAGTGGCTTGCAGCCGAAGAACACCATCCCAACCGTGAAGCACGGGGTGGCAGCATCGTGCGTGGGGGTGCTTTGTCTGCGGGGGCCTGGTGCACTTCACAAATGATGGCACGGGAGGTGGCAAGCATCAGTCAGGCTTGGTTGGTTGGTGCCCCAACTTGTTTGCCTGACATGAGGGGAACTGGTTTGCACTTCACAAGTAGGCCTACAAACCTGACTCAGTTACACCAGCTCTGTCAGGAGGCATGGGCCAAAATTCACCCAACTTATATTCACCCAAACAATTTAAAGGCAATGTTACCATATACTAATTGAGTGTATGTAAACTTCTGACCCACTGGGAATGTGATGAAAGAAATAAAAGCTGAAATAAGTCGTTCTCTCTACTATTTTTCTGACATTTCACATTCTTAAAATAAAGTGGTGATCCTAACTGACCTAAAACAGGGAATTTGTACTAGGATTAAATGTCAGGAATTGTGAAAAACTGAGTTTAAATGTATTTGGCTAAGGTGTATGTAAACTTCCGACTTCAACTGTATGTACAGTGAGCTCCAAAGGTATTGACAGTGAATTATTTTGTTGTTTTGTCTCTGTACTCCAGCACTTTGGATTTGAAATGATACAAGGACTATGAGGTTAAAGTGCAGACTGTGATTTTTAATTTGAGGGTTACAGCACTTTTTGTACATAGTCCCCCCATTTTAGGGGATCAAAAGTATTGGGACATATTCACTTATGTGTATTAAAGTAGTAAAAAAAAGTATTTGGTCTGATATGCATAGCACACAATGACTACATCAAGCTTGTGACTCTACACATTTGTTGGATGCATTTGCTGTTTGTTTTGGATGTGTTTCAGATTAATTTGTCCCCAATAGAAATGAATAGTAAATAATGTATTGTGTCATTTTGGAGTCACTTTTATTGTAAATAAGAACAGAATATGTTTCTAAACACGTCTACATTTAATGTGGGTGCTACCATGATTACAGATAATCTTGAATGAATCATGAATAGTGATGAGTGAGAAAGTTAGACGCACAAATATCATACCCCCAAGACATACAATAACAGGGGAAGTAATTTTTTTTGGGGGGGGTATGATGTTTTATTACAATTTAACAGGCAAATTTTTATTCAGATAAGAGAATTTACAATAATCTAAATGTGATTTTGAGAGCCGTGGGTGGACGCCCTAATGCGTTACGCACCCAATGCATATGGATGTCTGGTAAATTTTTCAAATGTCGTCTGGTAAATTTAAAATCACGTTGTCTGGCGCCAAATTTTCCTCACGGACACCCTGATACATATGAAATGGGTAAAACCGTATGTAAGCATTATTAAAGTGACCAGTGTTCAATGACTATGTACATAGGGCAGTAGTCTCTGAGGTGCAGGGTTGAGTACCGGGTGGTAGCCCGCTAGTAACCATGACTAAAGTTCAGGGCAGGTTACTGGGTGAGGGCCGGCTATTTAACAGTCTGATGGCCTGGAGACGACAGTGCAGGGACAAAGTGGAGTCTTAATTCAACGGTTCAGACACGAGACGTACACTGAGTGTACAAAACATTAGGAACACCTGCTCTTTCCATGACAGACTGACCAGGTTAATTCAGGTGAAAGCTACGATCCCTTATTGATGTCACCTGTTAAATCCACTTCAATCACTTCAATCACTGTAGTAGATGAAGGGTAGGAGAGAGGTTGAAGGATTTTTAAGCCTTGAGACAATCGACAATCGAGACAATCGAGACATGGATTGTGTATGTGTGGCATTGAGGGTGAACGGGCAAGACAAAATATTTAAGTGCCTTTTGAACAGGGTATGGTAGTACGTACCAGGCGCACTGGTTTGAGTGTGTCAAGAACTGCAACGCTGCTGGGTTTTTCACGCTCAACAGTTTCCTGTGTGTATAAAAAATGGTCCACTACCCAAAGGACATCCAGCCAACTTGACAGAACTGTGGGAAGCATTGGAGTCAACATGAGCCAGCATCCCTGTGGAACACTTTCGATACCTTTTAGTCCATGCCTGACAAATTGAGGCTGTTCTGAGGGTAAAAGGGGGTGAAAGTCAATATTAGGAAGGTGTTACTAATGTTCTGTACACTCAGTGTATGTGGCAGGTCTCCAGACAATCAATGATTATAAAGGGAAAGCGTTGCAGACACCGACGCCTCACTCCCGCATAAACTAAACACGCTCATGAGGACTGTGTGCTCTCGTTCTCCGTGGCCGACTTGAGTAAGTCAACTAAACATGTTAACCCCCGCAGGACTGCCGGCCCAGACTGCATCCCAAGCAGCATGGTCAGAGCTTGTGCAGACCAGCTGGCTGGAGTGTTTACTGACATATTCAATCACTCCATATCCCAGTCTGTTGTCCTCAATTGCTTCAAGATGTCCCCAATTGTTCCTGGATCCAAGAAAGCGAAGGTAACTGAACTAAATGACGATCGCCCCGTAGCACTCACTTCTGTTATCATGAAGTTCTTTGAGAGGCTAGTTAAAGACCATATCACCTCCACCTTACCCGACAACCTAGACCCCCTACAATTCGCAAACTGCCCCAACAGATCCACAGGTGACGCAATCACACTGTCCTATCCCATCTGGACAAGATAAATACCTGTGTAAGAATGCTGTTCATCGACTACAGCTCAGCCTTCGACACCATAGTGCCCTCCAAGCTCATTAATAAGCTCAGGGCCCTGGGTCTGAACCCCTCCCTGTGCAACTGGGTCCTGGACTTCCTGACAGGCCGACCCCAAGTGGTGAAGGTAGGCAACAGGGGTGTGTGCTCAGACCCCTCCTGTACTCCCGGTTCACCCTTGACTGCCTGGCTACGCACGTCTCTCAACTCAATCATCAAGTTTGCTGGCGACAGAAGATTGGTTGGCCTGATAACCAACAATGACAAGACAGCCTATAGGGAGGAGGTGAGAGACCTGGCAGAGTGGTGCCAGGAAAATAACCTCTCCTTCAATGTCAACAAAACGAAAGAGCTGATCGTGGACTACAGGAGACCGCAGAGAGAGCACACCCTGATCCACATCGACGGGGCCATAGTGTCGAGGGTCAAAAACTTCAAGTTCCTCAGTGTGCACATCACTGACGACTTGAAATGGTCCCTTCACACAGACAGTGTGGTGAAGAAGGCACAGCAGCACCTCTTCAACCTCAGGAGGTGGAAGAAATTCGGCTTGGCTCCTAAGACCATCACAAACTTCTACAGATGCACCATTGAGAGCATCCTGTCGGGCTGTATGGCAATTGCACCATCCGCAAGCACAAGCCTCTCCAGAGGGTGGTGTTGTCAGCCCAACGTACACTACATGACCAAAGGTATGTGGACACCTGCTCGTCGAACAGCTCATTCGGAAATCATGGGCATTAATATGGAGTTGGTCCCCCCTATGCTGCTATAACAGCCTCCACTCTTCTGGGAAGGCTTTCCACTAGATGTTGGAACATTGCTGTGGGGACTTGCTTCCATTCAGCCACAAGCGGATTAGTGAGGTCGGGCACTGATGTTGGGTGATTAGGCCTGGCTCGCAGTCTGCGTTCCAATTCATCCCAAAGGTGTTCGATGGGGTTGAGGTCAGGGCTCTGTGCAGGCCAGTCAAGTTCTTCCACACCGATCTCGACAAACCATTTCTGTATGGCTCTCGCTTTGTGCAGGAAAGGGCCTTCCCCAAACTGTTGCCACAAAGTTGGAAGTACAGAATCGTCTAGAATGTCATTTTATGCTGTAGTGCTAAGATTTCCCTTCACTGGAACTAATGGGCCCAGCCCGAACCATGAAAAACAGCCCCAGACCATTATTCCTCATCCACCAAACGTAATATTTCATTCAATAGTGATAGTCAATTTATTGAGTCTTTTGAATGTACTGATAATAAAGGCCTTTATTCCATAATCTGGAGTGTTCATTAGGCACCAAACTGAATATATTTGTTTTATTATTCCGTTACGGTGCCCTGATTCAGAGGTGTTGGGTTAAATGTTGAAGGCACATTTCAGTTGAATGCATTCAGTTGTACAACTGACTAGATATCCCCCTTTCCCTAATGAACATGACCCAGGTGTCATTGTTGAATTGTGGCATCTGGGAAAGTTGTGATTTCTTATTTCTAAGCATTAGATTGATTGTGTGAGAGAGATTAGACCTAAATCAAACCAATCCCCTTTAAAATGGCTTTTCGGATTTGGGAAGAGTGAGTTTTGAGTCCAGCCATTGAAAGACTGAACAACTTAATTTAGAGTCATCTTCATGCCTGCTGGATTAGACAACTATGTCAAATCAGTTGAAATCCTCACCTTGATTGGGAAAATCCTCCCTATGTGTTAGTAGTCTTGTGTGTGGCAAAAATATCTTAGATTGGCTCATTTGGCTGACAATCAATCCAGAGATTCCTGACACCCAGTTGCGAAGACATCCTAAATGATGCCAGCTAATATGCTTTTGCTAAGTAAAAGGTCACTGGAATGATAGGTTCTGTAAATAATGTGAATAGAGACCGTTATGTGAGACGTGAAACATAGTTACAGAATTGTGAATCGAGGACTCCATACAAAGCATTATTTTCTTATTTTTCTTCTATACTAGCCTATAATTGACTTTTATCTGATTCTGAATAATTGCAGTCACAATGGTTCCAGGGCTTCCTTTTGGAGACTTCAATCTCCTGCTGGGAAGATTAAAGGATGTGAATATTGTGGCCACTCAAAAAAAACATTCCGCTTCGCTCTGAAATAGGGAACAGAAAATAGCAGAGCCCTCCTCAGTTTTGTACTGTGTTTGTTGAAATAGGCGCTCCACTTATCCTGTCTGGGTCGCCCATTGTTTGTCGCCCATTGTTGTTCCAGGTGCTGGAACGGTTCACGGGCCGTCTGATCCAGAACAGGGCGATGTCTCACCGCGACCTGCGCTCCCTCACCAAGTACCAGCTCATCCTCGCCCGGGAACAGTTCCGCAAGAACCCTCCGCCCCACGTCACGGTGCGGTAAACACACGAACGCATGCAGGCACACAGTGCCACCACACACACCACACACACCACACACACACACACACACACACACAAAGGCATTCCTTGACACTATACATTTAATAGCTTTATGGACATTTTGTAACACATAGCCAACCAATGCTCATCTTTTTTGGAGCAGGAATGTCCTCAGAGTAACCCCTATTCATTTTCTTCTATGATCAATCAACACGTTGCTGTTTTGCGATGGAAATACAATGTCAAATTTACTTGCAAATCGATGTTAAGTTACGTCATGTTATGTCCTGCTGTCAAATTAAGTCAAGCTACATACGTTAAGGCTTAAGCCCGTCTTTGTGATCCTTGCTGTTAACAGGGGGCTCAGCATGGGGCTCTGGAGGGGGACTTTGCCCTGTGTATCAGCCTGTACCACGGCTACGAGCTGCTGCTCCAGATGGGCCTGCGCTCCCTCTTCCTCTTTGTCCAGGGCATCATGGATGGCACCAAAGGTAGGTAGGAGGCACCTCCTTACGCGCACACAAACACACACTCACTCACTCACTCACAACCACTCTATAAGTGATAGCCAGCATTCTGCTCAGGTGATTGTCTCCATTCTATATTTATGCCAACTCAGAGATGTCTCGAGCCAGGAACGAGCTACAGCGCAACGCCACCTTCATGGACCTGTACCAGGAGATGGAGGCCATGTTTGTAAAGCCCACTGGTAGGATACCGTTCCTACAGCCCCGTGTCTTTGAAGCCACATGATAACACTTTATTTTACAGCCAGGAGCCTGGTTAAAGCTGGTACTTTCCTGGTATTTACATGGTAAATACTAGGAAACTGTGGTAACAATAAGAATTTGGTACCTACCTCAAACAATTCAACACAATTGGTAACTACCTGCTACCAAATTGTGCATAGTGATGCTTGTGTCAATGAATGTCAAAGAAACCGATGTGTAATTACTACACAATTATTAGTCAAGCACCGTTGTAACAAGTAATTTCTAAATAACTACCTGTTCAACAGCAGGCTGTAAAACAAAAGCGTTACCAACACTTCTCCTAATTGTGAATGTTTATTATGAAGGGTGTCGTGGGCCATGATTGACCTGGTTGACCTGATTGCCGTGTATTGCGCTTTGCTTCCAGGCCCCGAGGAGCCCTTCATCTACAGTCACCCCAAACTGCAGAAGCTGGAGGAGGTGGTGCTAGGGCACTTTAAAACACGGGCTGAGAGCTCCGGCACCGGTAATTCACTCTCTTGTTAGTAGCAACTAACTGCAACCAGCTCTTAGCAATGAGTCATCCTTTTAAGATATTTAACTAGAGCCGAGGTAAACAGCAGGAATGAATGACACGGTTAAAGTCAGAGAGTGTGCTCCAGATGTTGTTATTACGTATTTGTTTTGAGTAGCAGCAGATGCACTTAATAAGCAGTTGATTGGTTGTAAGAACACACACACGCACTGAGGAAGGCACTAACCGAAATGTATGCAGTTTGTGTTTTAGTAGGAAATGTTGCCTAAAAGAAAATGAAGACAAATACTTAATTTCCAACTACATGAAGTGAGTGCTGGTGAGTCTTTTTCATTGGTTGTAAGTAACCTCTTTCTCTTTTTCTCTCCTCTTTGATTGGTCCAGGCTCTGGGCCCCAGGAAGTGAGCACGCGTGTGATGATCTTTTCATCGTTCCGGGAGAGCGTGCAGGAGATTGCCGCCATGTTGAACCGCCACCTGCCCCTGGTCAAAGTCATGACCTTTATGGGCCAGGCCTCGGCAGGGAAGGGGGTCAAAGGGTTCACCCAAAAGGAGCAGCTGGAGGTAAAAATACAACTCATGTGGCCTGGGGATGGTGCCTACACTCTAGGTTCCATCTAGAAACTAAAAGGGTTCTTTGGTTGTCCAAATGGAAGAACCCTTTGAAGAACCTTTTCACAGAGCGTTCTACATGGAACCCAAAAGGGTTCTTCAAAGGGTTATCCCATGTGGACAGCCGAAGAACCCTTTTGGATAACCACCTTCAGTACATACAGTGGGGAGAACAAGTATTTGATACACTGCCGATTTTGCAGGTTTTCCTACTTACAAAGCATGTAGAGGTCTGTTATTTTTATCATAGGTACACTTCAACTGTGAGAGACAAAAATCCAGAAAATCACATTGTATGATTTTTAAGTAATTAATTTGCATTTTATTGCATGCCATAAGTATTTGATCACCTACCAACCAGTAAGAATTCCGGCTCTCACAGACCTGTTAGTTTTTCTTTAAGAAGCCCTCCTGTTCTCCACTCATTACCTGTATTAACTGCACCTGTTTGAACTCGTTACCTGTATAAAAGACACCTGTCCACACACTCAATCAAACAGACTCCAACCTCTCCACAATGGCCAAGACCAGAGAGCTATGTAAGGACATCAGGGATACAATTGTAGACCTGCACAAGGCTGGGATGAGCTACAGGACAATAGGCAAGCAGCTTGGTGAGAAGGCAACAACTGTTGGCGCAATTATTAGAAAATGGAAGAAGTTCAAGATGACGGTCAATCACCCTCGGTCTGGGGCTCCATGCAAGATCTCACCTCGTGGGGCATCAATGATCATGAGGAAGGTGAGGGATCAGCCCAGAACTACACGGCAGGACCTAGTCAATGACCTGAAGAGAGCTGGGACCACAGTCTCAAAGAAAACCATTAGTAACACACTACGCCGTCATGGATTAAAATCCTGCAGCGCACGCAAGGTCCCCCTGCTCAAGCCAGCGCATGTCCAGGCCCGTCTGAAGTTTGCCAATGACCATCTGGATGATCCACAGGAGGAATGGGAGAAGGGCATGTGGTCTGATGAGACAAAAATATAGCTTTTTGGTCTAAACTCCACTCGCCGTATTTGGAGGAAGAAGAAGGATGAGTACAACCCCAAGAACAACATCCCAACCGTGAAGCATGGAGGTGGAAACATCATTCTTTGGGGATGCTTTTCTGCAAAGGGGACAGGACGACTGCACCGTATTGAGGGGAGGATGGATGGTGCCATGTATCGCGAGATCTTGGCCAACAACCTCCTTCCCTCAGTAAGAGCATTGAAGATGGGTCGTGGTTGGGTCTTCAAGCATGACAACGACCCGAAATACACAGCCAGGGCAACTAAGGAGTGGCTCCGTTAGAAGCATCTCAAGGTCCTGGAGTGGCCTAGCCAGTGTCCAGACCTGAACCCAATAGAAAATCTTTGGAGGGAGCTGAAAGTCCGTATTGCCCAGCGACAGCCCCGAAACCTGAAGGATCTGGAGAAGGTCTGTATGGGAGTGGGCCAAAATCCCTGCTGCAGTGTGTGCAAAACTGGTCAAGACCTACAGGAAACGTATGATCTCTGTAATTGCAAACAAATGTTTCTGTACCAAATATTAAGTTCTGCTTTTCTGATGTATCAAATACTTATGTCATGCAATAAAATGGAAATTAATTACTTAAAAATCATACAATGTGATTTTCTGGATTTTTGTTTTAGATTCCGTCTCTCTCAGTTAAAGTGTACCTATGATAAAAATTACAGACCTCTACATGCTTTGTAAGTAGGAAAACCTGCAAAATCGGCAGTGTATCAAATACTTGTTCTCCCCACTGTAGGCCTATGAGTGTGGCCATGTCGGTTTGAATCCCAGACCTACCGTTGCTTTGTTACAACCCCTCTTCACTTCTCTCCTTCTATGCGTCCTATCTCTTCAATAAAATGTCTGATAAATACAAAAAAACACAATGCATGTGCCACAGTCACACCAGGTGACAAGACTGATAACACAAGCTCAAGGTAATGCCAGGATAACGTAATTAAAAAGGATAGTATTTGATTGACATGGCTTGGTTTACATTATACTGGGATTTGGTCCAAATGAACTGAAAAAGAACACACTGGAAAGTGCCTCCCAAATACCTGTATTGAGCTAAACGGCACAAACATTCAATGTTATCCAAAAATGTGGTTGCTTAGCGGCTCTGACTGAAGCTAAGGTGTTGTTCTGTGACCCTATTAGGCTTGTCTTCTCAGGTCCTCAGCTTTCTCCATTCCTGACTGGCAGACAGAGTGTTTGCTTAGCTTAGATAGATAGCTGACACATCCTGCTCCCCATATGCCTGCTCTGTCTTGTGTCACTGTGTAGGTGAGCTGCTAATAGTTTTTTTTTCTGATAATTTTTTCTGATATCCACATGGCAGTCAAAAATACTGAAATACATAGATACTAAAATACATGGATATTACAATACATACACAATAACACATTCAAGTTGAAATCACAAGTAAAATTCATGACAATATGTACGTTAAGGAGACCCGAAGAGTTTTGATGATTTAATTTGCATAGGTAGGGTATGGGAGACTGGTGTGCTGGTAGAAATATATTTTCACCACACACACCTGTACCATAGATATAACATAATGTAGGTAGGCCTTTAGAAAATGGAGAAGGTGATTATGATAAAGTAAGAAAGCCGAACTGAGCCAGTTCAGGTATAAATTATATATTTGATGTTCTTCAAAAACCACCAGCAAATCAATTGAATGGCTAAACTGTTAGCCTCTAGGCTAAATGTAGCACCCACCATTAACTTACAGGATCATAGCCTACACTAGCGTTTGAAGAACTAGCTCGTCGATTTTCCCATTGTACTTAGATTTTTTTTTAATGGTTTGCTGCTCATAAGGATCATTCCTCTACAGATCGGCTGTGTGCTTAGGGTCATTGTCCTGTTGGAAGGGGAAACTTTGCCCCAGTCTGAGGTCCTGAGTGCTCTGGAGCAAGTTTTCATCATTGCTCTGTTCAACTTTCCCTCGATCCTGACTAGTCTCCCAGTCCCTGCCGCTAAAAAACATCCCCACAGCATGATGCCAGACGTGACACTTGGCATTCAGGCCAAGAATCAGAATCTTGTTTCTCATGGTCTGAGAGTCATTTAGGTGCCTTTTGGCAAACTCCTGGTGGGCTCTCATGTACCTTTTACTGAGGAGTGGCTTCCGTCTGGCCACTCTACCATTAAGGCCTGATTGGTGGAGTGCTGCAGAGATGGTTGTCCATCTGGAAGGTTCTCTCATCTCCACAGAGGAACTCTGGAGCTCTGTCAGAGTAACCATCGGGTTCTTGGTCACCTCCCTTACCAAGGCCCTTCTCCCCCGATTGCTCAGTTTGGCCGGACGGCCAGCTCTAAGAAGAGTCTTGGTGGTTCCAAACTTCTTCAATTTAAGAAAGATGGAGGCCGCTGTGTTCTTGGGGAACTTCAATGCTGCAGAAATTTTTTGGTACCCTTCCCCAGATCTGTGCCTCGACACAATCCTGTCTCGGAGCTCTGTGTACAATTCCTTCGACGTCATGGCTTGGTTTTTGCTCTGACATGCACTGTCAACTGTGGGACCTTATATAGACAGGTGTGTGCCTTTCCAAATCATGTCCAATCAGTTGAATTTACCACAGGTGGACTCCAATCAAGTTGTAGAAAAAGCTCAAGGATGGTCAATGGAAACAGGATGCACCTGAGCTCAATTTCGAGTCTCATAGCAAAGGGTCTGAATACTTATGTAAATAATGTATTTCTGTTTAAAAATATTAATACATTTGCTAAAATTTCTAAAAACCTCTTTGCTTTGTCATTATGGGGTATTGTGTGTAGATTGAGGAAAATCTTTTATTTAATCAGTTTTAGAATAAGGCTAATGTAACAGAATGTGGAAAAAGTCAAGGGGTCTGAATACTTTCCAAATGCACTGTACATGTTTGTGATTGACTTCACATACAGGCACAGCCAAGATTTCTGTCATCCTGATAAAATTTATTGATTTCTGTACTGAAGGTGGTGCGACGGTTTCGGGAGGGAGGCTTCAACACCCTGGTGTCCACCTGCGTGGGCGAGGAGGGGTTGGACATAGGCGAGGTGGACCTCATCGTGTGCTTCGACGCCCAAAAGAGCCCCATCCGCCTGGTTCAGCGCATGGGCCGCACAGGACGCAAACGCAAGGGCCGCATAGTGGTCATCTTGGCAGAGGGACGAGAGGAGAGGGTGAGCAACAACTCCTGCCTTGGGAATCTTAGGAACGGTCCCACATCTGTTTGTGCTGTACCTCTATGGTAATTCCTATGTTCATTGTCATACCAAACATGTTTATGTTTGGTATGACAATTGAAAAACAAAGTTCCACTTTGACATCATCGTGGTTTGTGTGTAGGCCAGTGACAAAATCTCGATTTTAATCGATTTGAAATTCAGGCTGTAACACAACAACGTGGAAAAAGTCAAGCGGTGTGAATACTTTCTGAAGGCACTGTAAGCATGAAATAGCTTTAAATAATCTTAACTATTTTTTTGAGTGCGGACCCTGTAATCTGCAACCACCAACTCTTTGTCGGACATCTTTGTTTTCCCCTCAGACCTACAACCAGAGCCAGAGCAACAAACGCAGCGTGTACAAGTCTATCGTGGGGGACAGCCACAGATTCCACATGTTCCCCCACAGCCCCCGCATGCTGCCCGAGGGGGTGCACCCCGCCCTGCACAAGATGCACATCACCTGTGGCCAGTTTGACCACGGGGAGAGCAGCAGGCGGCTCTCCGGGGGTGGGAGGGGACGCAGGTCCCACTCCTTGGAGGGCCACCGTGAGTCCCTTTTTCTTCCGCATGGTCTAGGTAAGAGAGGCTGGGGCTCTTGCTATGTACAGTACCAGTCAAAAGTTTGGACACACCTCGTTCTTCAGACCACCACTAATCGTTCTGCAAGGGTTTTTCTGATTTTTACGGTTTTCTTACCTTGTAAAAATAATAGTTGAAGAATTAAACGATGAAATAAACACATATGGAATCCTGTAGTAACAAAAAAGTTGGTAAACAAATCAAACTATTTTTTATATTTGAGATTCTTCAAATTAGCCAATCCCTTTCCCGCCCTTGATGACAGTTTGGACACTCTGGCTTCTCTCAACCAGCCTTCATGAGGGAATGCTTTTCAACAGTCTTGAAAGACGGTCCCACATATTTGCTGAGCACTTGTTGGCTGCGTTTTCCCTTCACTCTGCTGGTCCAACTCAATCCCAAACCATCTCAATTGGGTTGAGGTTGAGTGATTGTGGAGGCCAGGTCATCTGATGCAGCACTCCATCACTCTCCTTCTTGGTCAAATAGCCCTTACACAGCCTGGAGGTGTGTTTAGGGTCATTGTCCTGTTGAAAAACAAATGATAGTCCCACTAAGCACAAACCAGATGGGATGGCGTATCACTGCAGAATGCTGTGGTAGCCATGCTGTTTAAGTGTGCCTTGAATTCTAAATAAATCACAGACAGTGTCACCAGCAAAGCACCCCCACACCTCCTCCTCCTCCATGCTTCACGGTTGGAACCACACATGTAGAGATAATCCATTCACCTACTCTGCGTCTCACAAAGACACGGCGGTTGGAACCAAAAATCTCAAATTTGGACTCATCAGACCAAAGGACAGATTTCCACCGGTCTAATGTCCATTGCTCATGTTTCTTCGCCCAAGCAAGTCTCTTTTTCTTATTGGTGTCCTTTAGTAGTGGTTTCTTTGCAGAAATTCGACCATGAAGGCCTTTGGAGTATAACTGCGGCTTCCCCCTTGTGTTTCAATGTTCCAGGCGGGCACCAGGAGAGTGTGAAGGAGGATGGTTTCCTTAGCCCTTCTGCGCTCGCTCACTGGGAGTCTACCATGAAACTAGGGGAGGACGTGGCTCCACCCATTCTGAGACGGTCCCGCTTCCTCTCAATACAGGAAGACACGCCACCTCGGGTGAGTTGTGGGTTCAACCCTTGCAAGGATCATACACACTACAAATGTATGCACTAACTTATCTCTTTGGATAATGTCTGCTAAGTGGTATATTTGATGATTATGTTGTGCCTGTTGTGTGTGTGGCTGTAGGAGGAGCCGCTCTCCAGCGGGCCGACCAGGGAGCTGTCTCTGTGGGAGTGGAGACACTGGCAGAACCAGCCCTTCCCCACTCACATCGTGGACCACTCCAACCGCTGCCACCACTTCACCAAGGTCATGGAGCTCATCGACAGCCTGCGCCAGGAAGAGGTGAGAGGGAGGGCAACCTGAGAGGGGGTCGTCCATTCATCCATCATCCATCCGTTCATTCATCCATCTATCCCCCTCCACCCCCCACAAATGTGTCATCCACCGCCTACCTCTCCCATTAAAAGTTTCCCGTAATTCAAAACCACTGCAGTGTGGCAGTTGAGACATTTAGCATTGGTATTGTAATACTAGTCTCGTAAGCCACACTCAAAGGACTCGCATTAGCTTGCATCATGTAGCTATATGAAAGTCGGTCATGAGAGACTACTGTATTACATATAAGAAGAGGCAGAAGAGTGTTTCCCATATATTAATTTAGCAGTGGCGGCCCGCCCTTGCTAAATAGTTGCCGCCACTCCAAGAAATATGTAAAAACAAATATAAAAAAATAATATATATATATATATATATATATATATATATATATATATATATATATATATATATATATATATATATATATATATATATATATATATGCATGCACACACACACACACACATATTCACTGCTCAAAAAAATTAAGGGAACACTTAAACAACACAATGTAACTCCAAGTCAATCACACTTCTGTGAAATCAAACTGTCCACTTAGGAAGCAACACTGATTGACAATACATTTCACATGCTGTTGGCAAATGGAATAGACAACAGGTGGAAATTATAGGCAATTAGCAAGACACCCCCAATAAAGAAGTGGTTCTGCAGGTGGTGACCACAGACCACTTCTCAGTTCCTATGCTTCCTGGCTGATGTTTTGGTCACTTTTGAATGCTGGCGGTGCTTTCACTCTAGTGGTAGCATGAGACGGAGTCTACAACCCACACAAGTGGCTCAGGTAGTGCAGCTCATCCAGGATGGCACATCAATGCGAGCTATGGCAAGAAGGTTTGCTGTGTCTGTCAGCGTAGTGTCCAGAGCATGGAGGCGCTACCAGGAGACAGGCCAGTACATCAGGAGATGTGGAGGAGGCCGTAGGACCGCTACCTCTGCCTTTGTGCAAGGAGGAGCAGGAGGAGCACTGCCAGAGCCCTGCAAAATGACCTCCAGCAGGCCACAAATGTGCATGTGTCTGCTCAAACGGTCAGAAACAGACTCCATGAGGGTGGTATGAGGGCCCGACGTCCACGGGTGGGGGTTGTGCTTACAGCCCAACACCGTGCAGGACGTTTGGCATTTGCCAGAGAACACCAAGATTGGCAAATTCGCCACTGGCGCCCTGTGCTCTTCACAGATGAAAGCAGGTTCACACTGAGCACGTGACAGACGTGACAAAGTCTGGAGACGCCGTGTAGAACGTTCTGCTGCCTGCAACATCCTCCAGCATGACCGGTTTGGCGGTGGGTCAGTCATGGTGTGGGGTGGCATTTCTTTGGGGGGCCGCACAGCCCTCCATGTGCTCGCCAGAGGTAGCCTGACTGCCATTAGGTACCGAGATGAGATCCTCAGACCCCTTGTGAGACCATATGCTGGTGCGGTTGGCCCTGGGTTCCTCCTAATGCAAGACAATGCTAGACCTCATGTGGCTGGAGTGTGTCAGCAGTTCCTGCAAGAGGAAGGCATTGATGCTATGGACTGGCCCGCCCGTTCCCCAGACCTGAATCCAATTGAGCACATCTGGGACATCATGTCTCGCTCCATCCACCAACGCCACGTTGCACCACAGACTGTCCAGGAGTTGGCAGATGCTTTAGTCCAGGTCTGGGAGGAGATCCCTCAGGAGACCATCCGCAACCTCATCAGGAGCATGCCCAGGCGTTGTAGGGAGGTCATACAGGCACGTGGAGGCCACACACACTACTGAGCCTCATTTTGACTTGTTTTAAGGACATTACATCAAAGTTGGATCAGCCTGTAGTGTGGTTTTCCACTTTAATTTTGAGGGTGACTCCAAATCCAGACCTCCATGGGTTGATAAATTTGATTTCCATTGATAATTTTTGTGTGATTTTGTTGTCAGCACATTCAACTATGTAAAGAAAAAATTATTTAATAAGATTATTTCATTCATTCAGATCTAGGATGTGTTGTTTATGTGTTCCCTTTATTTTTTTGAGCAGTGTATATGCACACACACACACACACACACACATATACACTGCTCAAAAAAATAAAGGGAACACTTAAACAACACAATGTAACTCCAAGTCAATCACACTTCTGTGAAATCAAACTGTCCACTTAGGAAGCAACACTGATTGACAATAAATTTCACATGCTGTTGTGCAAATGGAATAGACAACAGGTGGAAATTATAGGCAATTAGCAAGACACCCCCAATAAAGGACTGGTTTTGCAGGTGGTGACCACAGACCACTTCTCAGTTCCTATGCTTCCTGGCTGATGTTTTGGTCACTTTTGAATGCTGGCGGTGCTTTCACTCTAGTGGTAGCATGAGACGGAGTTTACCACCCACACATGTGGCTTAGGTAGTGCAGCTCATCCAGGATGGCACATCAATGCAAGCTGTGGCAAGAAGGTTTGCTGTGTCTGTCAGCGTAGTGTCCAGAGCATGGAGGCGCTACCAGGAGACAGGCCAGTACATCAGGAGACGTGGAGGAGGCCGTAGGAGGGCAACAACCCAGCAGCAGGACTGCTACCTCCGCCTTTGTGCAAGGAGAAGCAGGAGGAACACTGCCGGAGCCCTGCAAAATGACCTCCAGCAGGCCACAAATGTGCATGTGTCTGCTCAAACGGTCAGAAACCGACTCCATGAGGGTGGTATGAGGGCCCGACAGAGCTCCCAGGCACGTGGGGGTTGTGTTACAGCCAAGATCCTCAGCCTGTGGGTGTGCATTCTTGGGGGGCCCAGCAACAGTGCCAGGCTCAGGGTGCTGACGCCATTTGAGACCATACGTGCTTGGCCCTGGTCCTCCATCGGCAGACCTAGACCAATGGCTGGATGTGCAGCAGTTCCTGCAGGAAGGCTTTGCATGACTGGCCTGCCGTCCCCAGTATCCAGAGACATCTGGGACCATGCCTCATCCACCACCACACGTTGACCAGGATGTCCGGTGGCGTGCTTAGTCCAGGTCTGGGAGGAGATCCCCAGGAGACCATCCGCCTCCCAGGAGCATGCCCAGGAGCTGCCAGGGGGTTAGGCCAGGGAGGCCACACACAAGCCACATTGACTTTTTAGGACTGTTTAAGGATAACAAAGTTGGATCAGCCTGTAGTGTGGTTTTCCACTTTAATTTTGAGGGTGACTCCAAATCCAGACCTCCATGGGTTGATACATTTGATTTCCATTGATAATTTTCGTGTGATTTTGTTGTCAGCACATTCAACTATGTAAAGAAAAAAGTATTTAATAAGATTATTTCATTCATTCAGATCTAGGATGTGTTATTTTAGTGTTCCCTTTATTTTTTTGAGCAGTGTATATACAGCTGTGGAAAAAATTAAGAGACCACTGCAAAATTATCAGTTTCTCTGGTTTTACTATTTATAGGTATGTGTTTGGGTAAAAATAATATTTTTGTTTTATTCTATAAACTACTGACAATATTTCTCCCAAATTCCAAATAAAAATATTGTCATTTAGAGCATTTATTTGCAGAAAATGACAACTGGTCAAAATAACAAAAAAAGATGCAGTGTTGTCAGACCTCGAATAATGCAAAGAAAATAAGTTAATGTTCATTTTTAAACAACACAATAGTAATGTTTTAACTTAGGAAGAGTTCAGAAATCAATATTTGGTGGAATAACCCTGATTTTCAATCACAGCTTTCATGCGTCTTGGCATGCTCTCCACCAGTCTTTCATATTGATGTTGGGTGACTATGCCACTCCTGGCGCAGAAATTCAAGCAGCTCGGCTTTGTTTGATGGCTTGTGACCATCCATCTTCCTCTTGATCACATTCCAGAAGTTTTCAATGGGGTTCAGGTCTGGAGATTGGGCTGGCCATGATAGGGTCTTGATCTGGTGGTCCTCCATCCACACCTTGATTGACCTGGCTATGTGGCATGGCGCATTGTCCTGCTGGAAAAACCAATCCTCAGAGTTGGGGAACAATGTCAGAGCAAAAGGAAGCAAGTTTTCTTTCAGGACAACCTTGTACGTGGCTTGATTCATGCGTCCTTCACAAAGACAAATCTGCCCGATTCCAGCATTGCTGAATCACCCCCAGATCATCACCGATCCTCCACCAAATTTCACAGTGGGTGCGAGACACTGTGGCTTGTAGGCCTCTCCAGGTCTCCGTCTAACCATTAGACGACCAGGTGTTGGGCAAAGCTGAAAATTGGACTCATCAGAGAAGATTGGGCGGCAGGTAGCTTAGTGGTTAAGAGCGTTGTGCCAGTAACCGAAAGGTCGCTGGTTCTAATCCCCGAGCCGACTAGGTGAAAAATCTGTCTGTGCCCTTGAACAAGGCACTTAACCCTAATTGCTCCTGTAAGTCGCTCTGGATAAGAGCGTCTGCTAAATGACTAAAATGTAAATGTAAGATGACCTTACTCCAGTCCTCTACGGTCCAATCCTTATGGTATTTTGCAAACCTCAGCCTGGCTCTTCTTTGCTTCTCATTGATGAAGGGCTTTTTTCTAGCTTTGCACGACTTCAGCCCTGCCCCTAGGAGCCTGTTTCGAACCGTCCTCGCCGTGCACTTCACCCCAGCTTCCGTTTGCCATTATTTTTGTAGGTCACTTGATGTCATCCTACTGTTGTTGAGTGACATTCGAATGAGTTGGCGGTCATCCCGGTCAGTAGAGAGTAGTTTTTGCCCTCTGCCGGTCTGTAGCTTTGTTGTCTCCAATGTCTGCTGCTTGACCTTGTTCTTATGAACTGCCGTCTTTGAAATTTTAAGGATGGAAGCAACCTGACGCTCACTGTATCCCTCTGCCAGTAAAGCCAGAATTGAACCCTTCTTTTCCTCACTCAAAACATTCCTTTTCAACTCTTTTGGCATGGTCAATAGTTATTTTTTTTATTAATATTACTTTTGAGGTACTATTAGCACTGTTTTTGCCATCCAGCTGGTCCTATTGCAAGAGGATAGTGATGACCACAGCAGTGGTTTTTATACTTTTCCTCGTTAAATAAGATTTGGTTCATGTGATCACCTAATCAGTACCTAATTCAGTAGAATGAGGTGTGCCTGTGTTGGAATTCAACAGACACTGGACAGGAATGGCTGTCATACATGTAGAGATGCTGATTTAAGAAACATTTGCAGTGGTCTCTTAATTTTTTCCACAGCTATGTGTATATAACACACACATACCTATACATACATGCAGAGCAGAGCAATATACACATACATACAGTGCATTCGGAAAGTATTCAGACCCCTTTACTTTTTCCACATTTTGTTAGGTTACAGCCTTATTCTAAAATGGATTAAATTGTCACGCCCTGGCTCTGGGACTCTGTTATGTTGAGCCAGGGTGTGTTGTTTCTATGTGTTTTGTGTGCTAGGGTGATTATCTAGCTGATGTGTTTTCTATGTTGGCCGGTGTGGTTCTCAATCAGAGGCAACGTGAATCAGCTGTTGATTGTTGTCTCTGATTGGGAACCATACTTAGGCAGCCTGTTTTGCCACAGTGTTTGTGGGATCTTGTTCCGTTTGGTTTGTGTAACCGTAGGACTTCACGTTTCGTATCGTTTGTTGTTTTGTTCGTGTGGTGACTCTAAGAAAAGAAGTATGTTCACTTATCACGCTGCGCATTGGTCCACTTCTATCGACGATCGTGACAGAAGATCCCACCCTAACTGGACCAAGCAGCATGTCCAGGAGCCAACGCCAGAGGTGAATCTAGCGGATATCCACCTCGACTGGGTCAAGCCGCGGGAGGAGGAGAGAGGCTGGACTTGGGAGCAGAGGAGCGAGAGTCTGGCGAGAGCCATGGAGGCCTGGCCCACGGGGAGGAGATACGCCCAGAACATTTTTAGGGGGGGGCTCACGCCGTGGACGACGGGGCAGCAGGAGGCCGCCAGGTTACGGGAGTCACCGGTCACCAGGGGGAAGGAGGATGTAGAGGCACAGCGAGAGGTACTGGGGTGTGTTGCCAGTCCGTTCCTGATCCCCGCGTAGGGCCAGTGGTGTGTGTCCCCAGTACGGTCCGGCTTGTTCCTGTCCCTCGCACCAAGCCTGTGGTGCGCGTCGCCAGCCCGGTCCGGCCTGTTTCTGCCCCTCGCACCAAGCCAGTGGTGCGCGTCGCCAGCCCGGTCCGGCCCGTTCCTGCTTCCCGCACCAAGCCAGTGGTGCGCGTCGTCAGCCCGGTTCGGCCCGTCCCTGCTCCCCGCACCAAGCCTGTGGTGCGCGTCGTTAGCCCGGTCCGGCCTGTTCCTGCTCCCCGCACCAAGCCAGTGGTGCGCTTCGTCAGCCCGGTTCGGCCCGTCCCTTCTCCCCGCACCAAGCCAATGGTGCGCGTCGTCAGCCCGGTCCGGCCTGTTCCTGCTCCCCGCACCAAGCCAGTGGTGCGCTTCGTCAGCCCGGTTCGGCCCGTCCCTGCTCCCCGCACCAAGCCTGTGGTGCGCGTCGTCAGTCCGGCACAGCCCGTGCCTGTTCCACCGGTGCCTGGTCCGGCACCGGTCAGCTGCTCCACTCCGGAGCTAGAGCAATCCGCTCCACAAGTGTTCAGTCCAGCTCCGGCCAGCAGGGCCAGACCGGACCAGGGGCGCTTTGGGGGGTTAGAGAGGGAGTGGGGGTCATGCCCGGAGCCGGAACCGCCTCTGAGGAGGAATGCCCACCCGGCCCTCCCCTGTTCGGTTTATGTTTGGCGCGTTTGCAGTCCGCGCCTTTGGGGGGGGGGGGGGGGTACTGTCACGCCCTGGCTCTGGGACTCTGTTATGTTGAGCCAGGGTGTGTTGTTTCTATGTGTTTTGTGTGCTAGGGTGATTATCTAGCTGATGTGTTTTCTATGTTGGCCGGTGTGGTTCTCAATCAGAGGCAACGTGAATCAGCTGTTGATTGTTGTCTCAGCCTGTTTTGCCACAGTGTTTGTGGGATCTTGTTCCGTTTGGTTTGTGTAACCGTAGGACTTCACGTTTCGTATCGTTTGTTGTTTTGTTCGTGTGGTGACTCTAATAAAAGAAGTATGTTCACTTATCACGCTTCGCATTGGTCCACTTCTATCGACGATCGTGACATAAATTGTTTTTTTCCCTCATCAATCTACACACAATACCCCATAATGACAAAACAAAAACAGGTTTTCAGAAGGAAAAAAAAGAAGAAAGAAATGAAATATCATATTTACATAATAAGTATTCAGACCCTTTACTCAGTACTTTGTTGAAGCACCTTTGGCAGCGATTACAGTCTCGGGTCTTCTTGGGTATGACGCTACAAGCTTGGCACACCTGTATTTGGGGAGTTTCACCCATTCTTCTCTGCAGATCCTCTCAAGCTCTGTCAGGTTGGATGGGAAGTGTCGCTGCACAGCTATTTTCAGGTCTCTCCAGAGATGTTCGATTGGGTTCAAGTCCGGGCTCTGGCTGGGCCACTCAAGGACATTCAGAGACTTGTCCCGAAGCCACTCCTGCGTTGTCTTGGCTGTGTGCTTAGGTCATTGTCCTTTTTGAAGGTGAACCTTCGCCCCAGTCTGAGGTCCTGAGTGCTCTGGACCAGGTTTTCATCAAGGATCATCTTTCCCGCAATCCTGACTAGTCTACCAGTCCCTGCCGCTAAAAAACATCCCCACAGCATGATGCTGCCACAACCATGCTTCACCGTAGGGATGGTGCCAGGTTTCTTCCAGACGTGACGCTTGGCATTCAGGCCGAAGAGTTCAATCTTGGTTTCATCAGACCAGAGAATCTTGTTTCTCATGGTCTGAGAGTCTTTAAGTGCCTTTTGGTAAACTCCAAGCAGGCTATCATGTGCCTTTTACTGAGTGAGGAGTGCCTTCCTTCTGCCCTCTACCATAAAGGCCTGATTGGTGGAGTGCTACAGAGATGGCAAAGGAACAACAGCAAAGGACCTTGAAGATGCTGGAAGAAAGAGGTACAAAAGTATCTATATCCACAGTAAAACAAGTTCTATATCGACATAACCTGAAAGGCCGCTCAGCAAGGAAGAAGCCACTGCTCCAAAACCGCCATAAAAAAGCCAGACTACGGTTTGCAACTGCACATGGGGACAAAGATCATACTTTTTGGAGAAATGTCCTCTGGTCTGATGAAACAAAAATAGAACTGTTTGGCCATAATGACCATCGTTATGTTTGGAGGAAAAAGGGGGCGGCTTGCAAGCCGAAGAACACCATCCCAACCGTGAAGCACGGGGGTGGCAGCATCATGCTGTGGGGGTGCTTTGCTGCAGGAGGGACTGGTGCACTTCACAAAATAGATGGCATCATGAGGAAGGAAAATGATGTGGATATATTGAAACAACATCTCAAGACATCAGTCAGGAAGTTAAAGCTTGGTCGCAAATGGGTCTTCCAAATGGACAGTTACCATAAGCATACTTCCAAAGTTGTGGCATCGCAAAGCCATCACAAAGCCCTGACCTCAATCCTATAGAAAATGTGTGGGCAGAACTGAAAAAGCGTGTGTGAGCAAGGAGGCCTACAAACCTGACTCAGTTACACCAGCTCTGTCAGGAGGAATGGGCCAAAATTCACCCGACTTATTGTGGGAAGCTTGTGGAAGGCTATCCAAAACGTTTGACCGAAGTTAAACAATTTAAAGGCAATGCTACCAAATACTAATTGAGTGTATGTAAACTTCTGACCTACTGGGAATGTGATGAAATAAATAAACGCTGAAATAAATCATTCTCTCTACTATTATTCTGACATTTCACATTCTTAAAATAAAGTGGTGATCCTAACTGACCTAAGACAGGGCATTTTTACTAGGATTAAATGTCAGGAATTGTGAAAAACTGAGTTTAAATATATTTGGCTAAGGTGTATGTAAACTTCCGACTTCAACTGTATGTATTATCATCATCCATCTATCACCACCATGCTAAGGATCATTTATATAACTGTAAAAGATCATCAGAGAGAACCATAATGCTGAATAATTGCCTTTCATTCACAGACAATAGCTGATATACAGCCCTTTAGAGCCTTAGGTTTGTTTCCACAGGTGGTCTAGTTCTCACCTTATCCTAGTAAGCTATTTTTGGAGTGTTTCCTCCACCACAGGTTAACAAGACGTTGTGCCAGTTGGTTCCTCTTGTTTGTTGGAGATTTTTGGGCCAACAAATAGGCCCCCATGTATTGTAGGCTTGTTACCGCCATCACAATCTCAACATCCCGAACAGATCAATCTAGACAAGGATGTTTTCGGTGCACGTAGAAGCTCTATTTGTTGTCATCCATCTCACCAAAGTGTTATTTGCAAACAACCACACAATAGGCCTTGTGTAAATAGGCCGCAATTAACTGCTGTTTCAACAGTTTGAAATGGAAATGTTCTGAATGGAGTGTAGCTTGACTGCCATATTGATTGGTTGTTTGTTTAGCTCATTCCAGTACCCCCCCCCCCCCCCCGCTGTTTTCTTTAAGGCTGACTAACTCCGTTTATTCAGAGGGCCGATGACATTAACCAGGGCTTTGTTACATGGCCTAAACCGTAAAGGCCTTTTGCATTCGTTCATTCACCTGCGTTGCTTTCCTCTCCTCTCCTGCCCTCACCTTTAAAACCAATGACGGGGGCAATGCAAAAAAAAGTACCCAATGTCAAAGGGAAAGGTTTGTTGTTTATAAAAAGCTACCCTTTTCATTTGAAGGCCTCTCTCTGTGTGTGTCGGTGCACACACGCAGCCACGCTGCATTTTTCATTTTCCCTTCTCCCCCCTTTTGTTCGCCTTTATGATGGAGAGAGAGAGACCCAGGGTAGGCAGACAGGCTGTCTCTCCCTCGCTTATGTAACGTTTCTCCGAATTATAAGCCCAGGAAGCGCTAAGTAGGCCAGCCCTGGGTGACCTAGATATGCACGAACATGGGCTGAGCTAGGAAGATTAGAGTGGAAGAGATGGGGAGCCTGACACCCTGTTGCCTCTGTGATGAACATAGAGGGGTCTGTCCACTCCAAACAAGCAGTGTTTGGTTTGTTTTCCCTTACCAATGAACACCGGAGGGGTTTGGATATCACTATGGAAAGAGATGAACTCCCGATGGGTTTTCATTTCACTTTACTAGGCTGGGCAGGTGGGCCCCTGGGACTCGCAGCTCAGCACCACTCATGTAAATTGTGAACCCAATGATCCAATGTTGATCCAATGTTCTGTATTACTGTTCCAGTTTACACTGGCTTGTGGTTAATCTAATAATGACATTCACTCGATCAAATGGTTAATTGTCTGTGAGCGAAAGACCAAGAACATTGTCTGGTACATGGAAAAGGGAATTCAATCCAAGGACCCAATTGCTCTCTCGCCAGTGTTGAAATTATAATTGCGTTTCAGATGTTTGCAATGTGTTTTATCACGTCATCTGCTTCTGTCTGTCATTGACATTGGCATTTATATTTGAATAGGTGAGTCATCTCTAAGGTAGGACTTTGAATTTAAAGGGAAATGAAGGATCAGTTTGACTATGCGTTTGCACCAGTGCAAAATCTGATGTAACAAGGCAGTGCTAACAAGTAAAATATGGGTTAAATAGGAATAAGACATTAAAGTGACATTAAACTTAAAAATCACATGTTTTCAGACCTCAAAAGTAGTTTGATGTTAAGATGAGCCCACGTCTCAGACCATCTGTTTTGTAGATCCAGCAAAATTCCACAATCTCTAAAACGAATGGAAAAGATAGGCAACGTGCAATTTCCAGATTTGCGGGGTTTATCTAATCCACGCATTTGGGGTGAAGGCATGTAGCTGGATCCACACAACCGATGGCGTGTGATGTGGACTCATATTTACATTATACTACTTTGGACGTCTGAAAAAGTCGGACAAATTTAGATTCTGTTGTTTAGATTCCTGTATATAATCTCCCTTAAAAGTAATTGTAAACAAACAGTTTAGTGGATTAGTTTAGCTTTGTTTTTTTCTGTTTTATCCCGTTCTGTAAATAAGCAGTGCAATTGCTTAGGATGCTATTAAATCAGTCAAACACAATGTCTGATTGTGTTGCATGAATGCACAATTAGGTTAATTTCCTCAGCAAAACAAAGTTTTGAAGTGTGAAACAGAAACAAACTAAACTGCATTTCATGATTCTTTTCAGTCAAACATTCTTTCTTGCTGTACAGGAAGAAATTGTGTTTGACTTATTCTAACAAAGAAGTTATGTTATGATTTAATCAGTCCTTAAAGGGGAAATCTGGGATTGTTACATCAATTTTTTGACTTTTAAATTAATGATTCTTGAAGAATATAACTTGAATTTATAATAATATAATATCAGGTTAGTTCAACTGTTTTACCCAGAACTGAAAAATATTATTGTTTTACTCCATTGTTTGTAAACAATGTTATTGTAAACAAACAGTATAGGGCCTCAAAACAAGGTAAAAATGATCATTTTGATCTCATGGATGGTCAGTCCTTGCATCCATAGCTCTGTCTATAAATTTAAGGTTGGGTACATTTTTCCAGCCCCATCACTCAGCTGATTACCAAAACAGTGGTGGCACTGGCGGGGTGCCTGTTTTGTTGTTGTTTGAACCGCAGATTGCCCCTTTGTCTATAGCCGTGTACTTCAATTGAAACAGACGTGAGCAAAGTGATCAGGCTGGTTTACAAGGCTAATGTGTCACGGCCTCAATCTAACAAACACTAAAATGTCCTGTACGTTGTGTTCTCTAACCCCAGCCGCGTTCTGTCTCCCTTAGCGTGGGTTCACAACTGTCAATATAATTAAATGTGTTTGCCAAGAGGCGCGATCTACGATGAGTCATAACTAGGCTACTTCCCCTTTTGAGCTCCATCTATACCCTCACTGTGTTTAACTCCCTGAGTAGGTGTGCTGGAGAGGTACACTATATATACAAAAGTATGTGGACACCCCTTCAAATTAGTGGATTCGGCTATTTCAGCCACACCCGTTGCTGACAGGTGTATAAAATCGAGCACACCGCCATGCAATCTCCATAGACAAACATTGGCAGTAGAATGGCCTTACTGAAGCTCGCAGTGATTTACAACACGGCACCATCATCTGTAAATGCTGTTATTGTGAAGTGGAAATGTCTAGGAGCAACAACAGCTCAGCCGCGAAGTCTGTCCTCGGTTGTAACACTCCCTACCGAGTTCCAAATTGTCTCTGGAAGCAATGTCAGCACAATAACTGTTCGTTGGGAGCTTCCTGCCGTAGGTGGAGTAAGCGTTCACCTCCATCTCTGCCCTTTGGTGGATGGTCGAAGACCCCCCTGAACAGAGCCATGAACCCCTCATACGAATCCAGCTCCTCCTCTCTCCCAGATGGCCGTAGCCCACTCCAACGCCCGTCCAGTCAGCAGGGAAATAACCATGGCAACCTTAGACCTCTCGGTGGTGGGGGCTCCCATCTGATGAGCGAAATAGAGGGAGCTGGAGTAGGAAGCCACAGCATTTTGATGGTCCCATCGTATTTGTCCGGGAGGGACAAACGGACCTCGCTGACCTGGACGGACTGCTGGATGGGCTGGGATGCTGGGTCGACACGTAGGAGAGAATCCTCCGCCCGAGGGAAGTAACGTCGAGACGTTGAAGAACGCGGAGGACCTCATCCATAGCCGCCCCCAGTTGAGCCAGCTGGTCGTGGTGTTGGCGAATAGGTCTCCCTGTTGGCTGACCATCAGGGAGATGCCTTGATCAACTGCTGCTTCCATGTGGTGAGGCGTTGTTCTGTGATGTAGACGCAGGGAGTGAGGAAGCCGGTGCAGTTGGAGAGTTTAATATTAACTCACACGTAACGATACAATAACAAGGAATGCGTCTGAACATGGAAACCGAGACAATAATCCCTGATGGGAAATAACAACAAAGTGCTATATACACACTACCAGTCAAAAGTTTTAGAACACTTACTCATTCAAGGGTTTTTCTTTATTTTTAAATTTTTTTACATTGTAGAATAATAGTGAAGACATCAAAACTATGAAATAACACATATGGAATCATGTAGTAACCAAAGAAGTGTTAAACAAATCCAAATATATTTGAGATTCTTCAAATAGACACCCTTTGCCTTGATGACAGCTTTGCACACTCTTGGCATTCTCTCAACCAGCTTCATGCATTTCAATTAACAGGTGTGCCTTCTTAAAAGATAATTTGTGGAATTTCTTTCCTCCTTAATGCGTTTGAGCCAATCAGTCGTGTTGTGACAAGGTAAGGGGGGTATACAGAAGATAGCCCTATTTGGTAAAAGACCAAGTCCATATTATGGCGAGAACCGCTCAAATAAGCAAAGAGAAACGACAGTCAAATGAAATCAATCAAATTTTATTGGTCACATACACGTGTTAAGCAGATGTTATTGCGGGTGTAGCGAAATGCTTGTGCTTCTACCTCCGACACTGCAGTAATATCTAACAAGTAATATCTAACAATTTCACAAAATATACCCAATACACACAAATCTAAGTAAGGAATTCATTAAGAATATATACATATATGGACAAGCGATGTCAAAGCGGCATTGATGGCGCGGGAGAAGATGACTGCCGTTTTACAGCCCTCTAACCAATTGTACTATTAAGTGTGTTTTTTTGCGTTATTTGTAATGTATTTTGTACATAATGTTTCTGCCATCGTCTCTTATAACCAAAAAGAGCTTCTGGATATCAGGACAGCGATTACTCACCTCGTATTGGACGAAGATTTTTTCTTCAACGAGTCGGACGCGAAGGATTTCCTACAGACACCCGACAAGGCCCAAATCCCTGTCATTCACAGGAAAAAGAGACTGAGATATCGTCGACGTAGGTCGGGGTGCCTTGTAAGGATCCGACGGCGAGCGAGTAAACTGCCTCTTCCATCAATCCTATTAGCCAATCTTCAATCATTTGAAAATAAATTAGATGACCTAAGTTTACGATTATCCTACCAACGGGATATTAAAAACTGTAATATCTTATGTTTCACGAAGTTGTGGCTGAACGACGACATGGACAACATACAGCTAGCGGGCTATACGCTATATCGGCAGGATAGAACGGCTGACTCCGGTAAGACAAGGGGTGGCGGTCTGTGGATATTTGTAAACAACAGCTGGTGCACAAAATCAAATACTAAGGAAGTCTCGAGGTTTTGCTTGCCTGAGGTAGAGTATCTTATGATAAGCTGTAGACCACACTATTTACCAAGAGAGTTTTCATCTATATTTTTCATAGCTGTCTATTTACCACCACAAACCAATGCTGGCATTAAGATTGCACTCAATGAGCTGTATAAGGCCATAACTAAACATGAAAATGCTCATCCAGAGGCAGCGCTCCTAGTGGCTGGGGACTTTAATGCAGGGAAACTTAAATGCAGAGACACATACAAAGCTGACCATTACTCTATCCTCCTGATTCCTGCTTATAAGCAAAAACTAAAGCAGGAAGCACCAGTGACTTGGTTAATAAAAAAGTGGTCAGATGACGCAGATGCTAAGCTACAGGACTGTTTTGCTAGCACAGACTGGAGCATGTTCCGGGATTCTTTAGATAGCATTGAGGAGTACACCACATCAGTCACTGGCTTCATCAATAAGTGCATCGATGACGTCGTCCCCACAGTGACCGTACGTACATACCCCAACCAGAAGCCATGGATTACAGGCAACATCCGCACTGAGCTAAAGGCTAGAGCTGCCGCTTTCAAGGAGCGGGACTCTAACCCGGACGCTTATAAGAAATCCCGCTATGCCCTCCGACAAACCATCAAACAGGCAAAGAGTCAATACAGGACTAAGATTGAATCGTACGACACCGGCTCTGACGCTCGTCGGATGTGGCAAGGCTTGAAAACTATTACAGACTACAAAGGGAAGCACAGCCGCGAGCTGCCCAGTGACACAAGCCTACCAGACGAGCTAAACCACTTCTATGCTCGCTTCGAGGCAAGCAACACTGAAACATGCATGAGAGCACCAGCTGTTCCGGATGACTATGTGATCACGCTCTCCGTAGCCGATGTGAGTAAGACTTTTAAGCAGGTCAACATTCACAAGGCCGCAGAGCCAGACGGATTACCAGGACTTGTACTCCGAGCATGTGCTGACCAACTGGCAAGTGTCTTCACCAACATTTTCAACATGTCCCTGACTGAGTCTGTAATACCAACATGTTTCAAGCAGACCACCATAGTCCCCGTGCCCAAGGACACTAAGATAACCTGCCTAAATGACTACCGACCCGTAGCACTGACGTCTGTAGCCATGAAGTGCTTTGAAAGGCTGGTCATGGCTCACATCAACAGCATTATCCCAGAAACCCTAGACCACAGGTGTCAAGCTCATTCCCCGGAGGGCCGAGTGTCTGCAGGTTTTCACTCCTCTCTTGTACTTGATTGATGAATTAAGGTCACTAATTAGGAAGGAACTCCCCTCACCTGGTTGTCTTGGGCTTAATTGAAAGGAAAAACCAAAAACCTGCAGACACTAGGCCCTCCATGGAATGAGTTTGACACCCCTGCCCTAGACCCACTCAATTTGCATACCGCCCCAACAGATCCTCAGATGATGCAATCTCTATTGCACTCCACACTGCCCTTTCCCACCTGGACAAGAGGAACACCTACGTGAGAATGCTATTCATTGACTACAGCTCAGCGTTCAACACCATAGTGCCCTCAAAGCCCATCACTAAGCTAAGGATCCTGGGACTAAACACCTCCCTCTGCAACTGGATCCTGGACTTCCTGACAGGCCGCCCCCAGGTGGTAAGGGTAGGTAACAACACATCTGCCACACTGATCCTCAACACGGGGGCCCCTCAGGGGTGCGTGCTCAGTCCCCTCCTGTACTCCCTGTTCACCCATGACTGCATGGCAAGGCACGACTCCAACACCATCATTAAGTTTGCCGACGACACAACAGTGGTAGGCCTGATCACCGACAACGATGAGACAGTCTATAGGGAGGAGGTCAGACACCTGGCCGTGTGGTGCCAGGATAACAACCTCTCCCTCAACGTGACCAAGACAAAGGAGATGATTGTGGACTACAGGAAAATAAAGAGGACTGAGCATGTCCCCATTCTCATCGACGGGGCTGTAGTGGAGCAGGTTGAGAGCTTCAAGTTCCTTGGTGTCCACATCACCAACGAACTATCATGGTCCAAACACACCAAGACAGTCGTGAAGAGGGCACGACAAAGCCTATTCCCCCTCAGGAGACCTGAAAAGATTTGGCATGGGTCCTCAGATCCTCAAAAAGTTCTACAGCTGCACCATCGAGAGCATCCTGACTGGTTGCATCACCGCCTGGTATGGCAACTGCTCGGCCTCCGACCGCAAGGCACTACAGAGGGTAGTGCGTACGGCCCAGTACATCACTGGGGCCAAGCTTCCTGCCATCCAGGACCTCTATACCAGGCGGTGTCAGAGGAAGGCCCTCAAAATTGTCAAAGACTCCAGCCACCCTAGTCATAGACTGTTCTCTCTGCTACCGCACGGCAAGCGGTACCGGAGCGCCATGTACCAAATTCTTATTTCCCTCATTAAAATGCGAATCAATTTATAACATTTTTGACATGCATTTTTCTGGATTTTTTTGTTGTTATTCTGTCTCTCACTGTTCAAATAAACCTACCATTAAAATTATAGACTGATCATGTCTTTGTCAGTGGGCAAACGTACAAAATCAGCAGGGGATCAAATACTTTTTTCCCTCGCTGTATAGGCAGCAGCCTCTAATGTGCTACTGATGGCTGTTTAACAGTCTGATGGCCTTGAGATAGAAGCTGTTTTTCAGTGTCTTGGCGCAAGCTTTGATGCACCTGTATTGACCTCACCTTCTGGATGATAGCGGGGTGAACAGGCAGTGGCTCGGGTGGTTGATGTCTTTGATTATCTTTTTGGCCTTTCTGTGACATCAGGTGCTGTAGGTGTCCTGGAGGGCAGGTAGTTTGCCCACGGTAATGCATTGTGCAGACCGCACCACCCTCTGGAGAGCCTTGCGGTTGCGGGCAGTGCAGTTGCCGTACCAGGCGGTGATACAGCCCGACAGGATGCTCTCAATTGTGCATCTGTAAAAGTTTGTGAGGGTTTTTCTTGACATGAAGGGCAGTCAATACGGAAAATGTCATGAACTTTGAACCATCAAGCGCTATGATGAAACTGGCTCTCATGAGGACTGCCACAGGAAAGGAAGACCCAGAGTTACCTCTGCTTCAGAGTATAAGTTCGAGTTACCAGCCTCAGAAATTTCAGCCCAAATAAATGCTTCACAGAGTTCAAGTCACAGACACATCTCAACATCAACTGTTCATAGGAGACTGTGTGAATCAGGCCTTCATGGTCGAATTGCTGCAAAGAAACTACTACTAAAGGAAACCAACAAGAAGAAGAGACCTGCTTTGGCCAAGAAACATGAGCAATGGACATTATACCGGTGGAAATGTGTCCTTTGGAGATTTTTGGTTCCAACCGCTGTGTCTTTGTGAGACGCGGTGTGGGTGAACGGATGATCTCCACATGTGTAGTCCCACCGTAAAGAATGGAGAAGGAGGTGTTATGGTGCGGGGGTGCTTTGCTGGTGACACTGTCTGTGATTTATTTTGAATTCAAGGCACACTTAACCAGCATGGCTACCACAGCATTCTGCAGCGATACGCCATCCCATCTGATTTGGGCTTAGTGGGACTATAATTTGTTTTTCAACAGGACAATGACCCAACACACCTCCAGGCTGTGTAAGGGCTATTTTACCAAGAAGGAGAGTGATGCATCAGATGACCTGGCCTCCACAATCCCTCGACCTCAACCCAATTGAGATGGTTTGGGATGAGTCGGAGTTCCGAGTGAGGGAAAAGCAGCCAACAAGTGCTCAGCATTTGTGGGAACTCCTTCAAGACTGTTGGAAAAGCCTTCCAATTGAAGCTGGTTGAGAGAATGCCAAGCGTGTTTAAAGCTGTCATCAAGGCAAAGGGTGGCTATTTGAAGAATCTCTTATTTTTTTGCACTTTTTTGGTTACAACATGATTCCATATGTGTTATTTCACAGTTTTGATGTCTTCACTATTATTCTACAATGTAGAAAATAGTAAAAATAAAGAAAAACTCTTGAATGAGTAGGTGTGTCCAAACTTTTGACTGGTACTGTATATGGGGAGTAATCAGGGAAGTGATAAGGTCCAGGTGTGCTTGATAATGAGGTGCAGGTAATAAAAGGTTGCCAGGACCGGTGGTTAGTAAACCGGCGACGTCGAACGCCGGAGGGGTGGAGCATGAGTAGACATGATAGCATGTGACAAATAAAATGTGATTTTTAAATTTGATTTCATCTTAGGTCGCACACTCGCTGAAATGCCGGCATAACTTTAAGCCCCATCCTAATTCTTCTCTTACACCTCAGCTTCCAGCGTCGAGTTATTTTGCGCCCCCCGCTAATCCACTAGTCCACTGTGTCTGCATCACTTGCAGGTCAGATACAGTGCCTTCAGAAAGTATTCACACCCCTTGACTTTTTCCACATTTTGTTGCGTTACAGCCCGAATTTAAAATAGTTAAAATATATATTTTTGGTCAATGGCTTACACACAATATCCCATAATGTCCAAGTGGAATTATGTTTTTTGACATTTTTACAAATTGATTAAAATTAAATAGCTGAAATGTCTTCAGTCAATAAGTATTCAACCCCTTTTGTTATGAAAAGCCAAAATAAGTTCAGGAGTAAAAATGTTCTTAACAAGTCACATAATAAGTTGCATGGACTCACTCTGTGTGCAATAATTGTGTTTAACATGATTTTTTAATGACTACCTCATCTCTGTACCCCACACATACAATTATCAGTAAGGTCCCTCAGTTGAGCAGATTCAAACACTAAGACCAGGGAGGTTTTCCAATGTCTCACAGCGAAGGGCACCTATTGGTAGATGGGTAAAAATAGCAGACATTGAATATCCCTTTGAGCATGGTGAAGTTACTAATTACACTTTGGATGGTGTATCAATACATCCAGTCACTATAAAGATACAGGCGTCCTTCCTAACTCAGTTGCTGGAGAGGAAGGAAACCGCTCAGTAATTTCACCATGAGGCCAGTGGTGACTTTAAAACAGTTACAGAGTTTAATTGCTGTGATAGGAGAAAACGGAGGATGGATCAACAACATTGTAGTTACTCCACTATACTAACCTAATTGATAGAGTGAAAAAAACATGTATCCTGTTTGCAACAAGGCACTAAACCAATACTGCAAAATAATTGGCAAAGCAATTTACTTTTTGTCCTGAATACAAAGTGTTATGTTTGGGGAAAATCCAGTACAACACATTACTGAGTATCACTTTCCATATTTTCAAGCATAGTGGTGGCTGCATCATGTTATGGGTATGCTTGTAATTGTTAAGGACTGGGGAGTTTTTCAGGATAAAAAAATAAACTGAATGGAGCTAAGCACAGGCAAAATCCTAGAGGAAAACCTGGTTCAGTCTGCTTTCCACCAGACTCTGGGAGATCAATTAACCTAAAACACAAAGCCAAATCTATGCTGGAGTTGCTTACCAAGAAGATAGTGAATTTTCCTGAGTGGCGGAGTTACAGTTTTGACTTAAATCTACTTGAAAATATATGGCAAGACCTGAAAATGGTTGTCTAGCAATGATCAACAACCAATTTGACAGAGCTTGAAGAATTTTGAAAAGTATAATGGGACATTTTGAAAGTCGCTCTGGATAAGAGCGTCTGCTAAATGACGTAAATGTAAATGTAATTTTGCACAATCCAGGTGTGCAAAGCTCTGAGACTTAACCAGAAAGACTCACAGCTGTAAACGCTGCCAAAGGTGCTTCTACAAAGTATTGTGAATATTTATGTAAATGAGATATTTCAATACATTTGCAAAAAATTCTAAAAACATGTTTTCACTTTGTCATTATGGGGTATTGTGTGTAGATGGGTGAAAAAAAAATATATTTAATACATTTTGAATTCAGGCCGTCACAACAATGTGGAATAAGTCAAGGGGTATGAATACTTTCTGAAGGCACTGTACACAACATACAAGCATCAAACCTAATGCTACTTCTCATATCCGCTGAATGAAGACGTAGCCTACTGAATATTGATAACATGTTTTCACTTTGTCATTATGGGGTATTGTGTGTAGATGTGTGTATATTTGAATTCAGGCTGTAACACAACAAAAGTCAAGGGGTATGAATACTTTCTCAAGGCACTGTGTCAAATGTCTTGTTGTTTATATAAGCAGTGAACTCCGTGTGTCGTACCAAGGAGGTATTAGATCTGTAACTTGCGTTATGATACAATAGCTTGTGCAACATCTGAAGAAGTTTGCCAGACTTCGACCAAACCTTTTTTTTAAGAAATAAGAAAAAAGCTTGGTAGTTTGATTCATTGTTTGTTTTATCTGACAGGGTGAAAGCAGATATGAGTTGGAGCTGCTGCCCCACCTCCACAAAGCAGACGTCGTCGGCCTCACGGAGGAAGCACAGCAGGAAAAGTCCACCAAAGGAATGAAGCAGAAAGAGGGCAAAATGACAAAAGCCAGAACCAAAACGGCCAGCCTGAGCCACAAGCAGAGGACTTCCTGCCTTTCCTCAGCTGACCTAGACCGTGTCGAACTCGAAAAGGAAGTGCTGACGGAGAGCGTTTCTAAAGCAGAGACGACCTTAGTCTCTCCATGGACCCTGATAAAGGACAGAGTCTCTTCAGAATGTCGCACAGAGGTGACTCATGACCTCAGAGATCACCCAGGCCCCTGGCCACTCCCCTCCACCGGTGACCAGCCAATCATGGACATGGATTTTGACTGTATCATGCTCGACAACGAGAGTGAAAGTTCAGAGGTCAATTCTCCAAGGGATTTGGTCAGCGAATCAGTGAACTGCATTGCTGCTATAGAACAGATTGACCTCAATCAGTTGACCTCAATTGCAGACCGTGAACCCAAGTCAGATGAAGACTCTGAACTGGAGGCTTTGTTTTACTTGCCCAAATGGGGCAATGCTGTCCCCAAGTTGCAGCCCCTGAGACAGAGGTTAGAGAGCTTGAGGGTCATTCAAGTCAACGTGACAGAGCTTCTGTCTAGGTCACCTCCAGCTTTGCACTTTGACCTGGACAGCCCTCAGTTTGACCCTGGGCCCACCCCCTTCAACACCAAGGACCGTTCACATACACTTCCGGTTGAACCTCTGGATGAACTGCTGAATGAGGGTCACCCATTCCAGGTTAATTTCTCCCTGGAAGTGGATGAGGACTTTGCCGATTCTGCTTCTCAATCTCCCAATGTTGATTTAGACATTGGTTCTCCAGACTGTGAAAGCCATTGCGAACCACCTCATCAGCAGCACTCCCCTTCTTCACCCATTACTGTGCTAGCAGACAGCATGGGTAGGGAAAGTGCCATTGGCAGCCCTAGCTGGGATGAGGTTTTCGAGGATGACGGCAATGACATGATGGATGATGATATGGATGACAAAGCAGACTTCGAAACACCATGTCATCCCACTCAGCCTAAAGCCCAGCACTCTAAAACCAGCCTGGACGAGAGCATGGACCTGTTTGGAGATGACGATGCCTTCCTCCAGATGACCATCCCAGACATCCCTACGCCAGAGAACGTCAGTATCCGAACACCTAGCCCCCTGAAGGCTCCGGAGAGGGAAGAGTCAATAGGGTCAAGTAAAAGTGTGACAGAAACAAAGATGGCGGATCAGGTCAAACCTAGCCGTAGCCATGCTTCTCCTGTAGCACAGCAGGAGCCTGCTCAGGACATTGAGAACTTTGACTGTTCTCAGGATTTCTTCTCTGTCAACTTTGACCTGAGCTGGGAGGAGGAGGAAGGGGTCTCAGAGGCTGCTCCTGCTCCTGTCCCCTCCGAACCTTCACCCCCTAGGCCCAAAAAGCAGGAAGCACCTCCTCCCTCCTCAGGGAATGGGCCGAAAAGCTCTGGCTCGTCCACTCCCCCCTTTAGATTCCATGGGAAGAGCATGTCCACACCCTTGGCAGCCTGTCCGGGAGGGAAGAGGGCAGACACTTCTGCTCTGGCTTCGCCTCTGACCTCCAAGAGCGGAGCTCTGTTCTCACCAATCCTCACATTAGGACCGAGACGAGCTCTCCTGCCTGGTCCTTCCACCACCCCATCCACTTCGTTCTCATTCTTAAAGAGGAAACGCCAGGGGGCCTTACAGAATGCCTGGACTCCCAAAGCTCAGGCGGGGCCCCCAGGAAATGGTTCAATCGAGATGGGACACAGTTTGTCTCACATATACATCTTGGACCCCCCTCATCCAGGTTAGTTCACTCCAACTATCACATGTGCTTGATGTCAATGTGTCCCCTAGTTTCCCATTCACAAAAATCTAAACCACCTTGTTAATATGTATACCTGGTCGAGAAATTAGCAGTTGTTCTGACAATCTGACCTACACATCTCATCAAGGTAGCACAGACTGAGCGATAGGTCAGATTGGTACTGCTTTGCGTTGACTATTTTTGCCTGTGAGTGGGTAGGCTCTTCAGGCATGTGCACCAGTGACAGTGAGGAGGAGGTTATCACCCGTAAGCGGGGCCATCATCAGGTCAATGCCAACCCCTTGTCTTCTCCAGTGGTGAGTCCCAATTACCTACTTTTTCAACGATATAGTAAGCCTTCAGTTATCCATCTTCATTCTGTCAAACATAACCACCAAATGTAGGTCTGGCAAACTGCTACCTGCACTAGGTCTCTAATTCTAGTCATGTCATGGTGTTAATGTTTATTTTCTAACTGATGTATACTGAACAAAAATATAAACACAACATGTAAAGTGTTGGTCCCATGTTTCATGAGCTGAAATAAAAGAGCCCAGTAATGTTCTATATGCGTAAAAAGCTTATTTCTCGCAAATGTTGTTCCCAAATGTGTTTACATCTCTGTTAGTGAGCAGTTCTCCTGTGCCAAGATAATCCATCCTCCTGACAGGTGTGGCATATCAAGAAGCGGATTAAACAGCATGATCATTACACAGGTGCACCTTGTGCATTTGGCATGCTTACTGTTTTAGAGAATTTGGCAGTACGTCCAACCGGCCTCACAACCGCAGACCACGTGTAACCACGTCAGCCCAGGACCTCCACATCTGGCTTCTTCACCTGCGGGATCGCCTGAGACCAGCCACCTGGACAGCTCTCAGGGAAGCTCATCTGCGTGCTCGTCGTCCTCACCAGGGTCATGACCTGACTGCAGTTCTGCGTCGTAACCGACTTCAGTGGGTAAATTTTCACCTTTGATGGCACACTAGAGAAGTGTGCTCTTCACGGATGAATCCCGGGTTTCAACTGTACCGGGCAGATAACAGACAAGTGTGTATGGCGTCATGTGGGCTAGCGGTTTGCTGATGTCAATGTTGTGAATAGAGTGCCCCGTGGTGGTGGTGGGGTTATGATATGGGCAGGCATAAGCTACTGACAACGAACACATGCATTTTATCGATGGCAATTTGAATGCACAGAGATACCGTGAGGAGATCCTGAGGCCCATTGTTGTGCCAGTCATCCACTGCCATCACCTCATGTTTCAGCATGATAATGCACGGGCCCCATGTCACAAGGATCTGTACACAATTCCTGGAAGCTGAAAATATCCCAGTTCTTCCATGGCCTGCATACTCACCAGACATGTCACCCATTGAGCATGTTTGGGATGCTGTGGGTCGACGTGTAACACAGCGTGATCCATTTCCCGCCAATATCCAGCAACTTCGCACAGCCATTGAAGAGGAGTGGGACAACATTCCACAGGCCACAATCAACAGCCTGATCAACTCTATGCAAAGGAAATGTGTCACTCTGCATGTGGTCACAGCAGATACTGACTGTTTTTCTGATCCACGCCCCTACTTTTTTAAAAAGGTATCTGTGACGAACAGATGCATATCTGTATTTCCATTCATGTGAAATGCATAGATTAGGGCCTGATTTCCTTATTTGAACTGTAACTCAGTAAAATCTTTGAAATTGTTGCATATTGTAATGGCGCCGGAGGGGATGGCTGCTGTTTTACGGGCTCCTAGCCAACTGTGCTATTTAGTTAGTTTTTTCGCATTGTTTGTAACTTATTTTGTACATAATGTTGCTGCTACCGTCTCTTATGACCAAAAAGAGCTTCTGGACATCAGAACAGCGATTACTCACCTCGAACAGGACGAAGATTTTTTCTTTAATGAGTCTGACGCGAAGGAGATACTGCTTCCCCGAGACCAGGCCCAAATCCCCGTCATTCGCGTGAAGAAAAGACAGAGATACAGGGGGTGGACGTCGGGGTGCCTTGTGAGAATTCGTTGGCGATTGGGGAAAACCGCCACTACCATCCGTCCTATTGGCCAACGTGCAATCACTGGAAAATAAACTGGATGAGCTACGATCAAGACTATCCTACCAACGGGACATTAAGAACTATAATATCTTATGTTTCACCAAGTTGTGGCTGAACGACAACACGGATAATATAGAGCTGGCTAGGTTTTACGTGCATCGGCACGACAGAGCAACTACGTCTGGTAAGACGAGGGGCGAGGTGTGTGTCTATTTGTCAATAACAGCTGGTACGCGATGTCTAATATTAAAGAAGTCTCGAGGTATTGCTCGCCTGAGGTAGTGTGGTCTACAGCTTATCATGAGATACTCTATCTACCAAGGGAGTTCTCATCTATATTATTCGTAGCTGTCTATTTACCACCACAAACCGATGCTGGCACTAAGACCGCACTCAACGAGCTGTATAAGGCCATAAGCAAACAAGAAATGCTCATCCAGAAGCGGCGCTCCTAGTGGCCGGGGACTTTAATGCAGGCAAACTTGAATCCGTTTTACCTCATTTCTCTACCAGCAAAACTCTAGACCACCTTTACTCCACACACAGAGAGGAATTCAAAGCTCTCCCTCGCCCTCCATTTGGCAAATCTGACCATAATTCTATCCTCCTGGTTCCTGCTTAGAAGCAAAAACTAAAGCAGGAAGTACCAGTGACTCGCTCAATACAGCTACAGGACTGTTTTGCTAGCACAGACTGGAATATGTTCCGGGATTCATCCAATGGCATTGAGGAGTATACCACCTCAGTCACTGGCTTCATCAATAAGTGCATCGATGACGTTGTCCCCACAGTGACCGTACGTACATATCCAATCCAGAAGCCATGGATTTCAGGCAACATCCACACCGAGCTAAAGGCTAGAGCTGCCGCTTTCAAGGAGCGGGACACTAATCCGGACGCTTATAAAAAATCCCGCTATGCCCTCAGACGAACGATCAATCAGGCAAAGCGTCAATACAGGACTAAGATTGAGTCCTACTACACCGGCTCTGATGCTCGTTGGATGTGGCAGGGCTTGCAAACTATTACGGACTACAAAGGGAAACCCAGCCGCGAGCTGCCCAATGACGCGAGCCTACCAGACGAGCTAAATGCCTTCTATGCTCACTTCGAGGCAAGCAACACTGAACCATGCATGAAAGCATCAGCTGGACTAAACACCTCCCTCTGCAACTGGATCCTGGACTTCCTGACGGGCCGCCCCCAGGTGGTAAGGGTAGACAACAACACATCTGACACGCTGATCCTCAACACTGGGGCCCCTCAGGGGTGCGTGCTTAGTCCCCTCCTGTAGTCCCTGTTCACCCACGACTGCGTGGCCAAGCACGACTCTAACACCATCATTAAGTTTGCTGATGACACAACAGTGGTAGGCCTGATCACCGACAACGATGAGACAGCCTATAGGGAGGAGGTGCCAGGACAATAACCTCTCCATCAATGTGAGCAAGACAAAGGAGCTGATCGTGGACTACAGGAAAAGGAGGGCCAAACAGGCCCCCATTAACATCGATGGGGCTGTAGTGGATCAGGTTGAGAGCTTAAAGTTCCTTCGTGTCCACATTACCAACAAACTATCATGGTCCAAACACACCAAGACAGTCGTGAAGAGGGCACGACAAAGCCTATTCCCCCTCAGGAGACTGAAAAGATTTGGCATGGGTCCCCAGATTCTTAAAATGTTCTACAGCTGCACATTCGAAAGCAACCTGACCGGTTGCATCACAGCCTGGTATGGCAACTGCTCGGCATCCGACCATAAGGCGCTACAGAGGGTAGTGCGTACGGCCCAGTACATCACTGGGGCCAAGCTTCCTGCCATCCAGGACCTATATACTAGGCGGTGTCAGAGGAAGGCCCAAAAGATTGTCAAAGACTCCAGTCACCCAAGTCATAGACTGTTCTCTCCGACAAGCGGTGCCAGAGCGCCAAGTCTAGGCCTAAAAGGCTCCTTAACAGCTTCTACCCACAAGCCATAAGACTGCTGAACAATTAATAAAATGGCCACCCAGATATAGCCTCGTTATTGTTATTTTATTGTGTTACTTTTAATTAAATGTTGTACTTTTAGTTATTTAGTAAATATTTTCTTAACTATATTTCTTGAACTGCATTGTTGGTTAAGGGCTTGTAAGTAAGCATTTCACGTTAAGGTCTACACCTGTTGTATTCGGCACATGTGACATATCATTTGATTTGATGTTGCGTTTATATTTTTGGGCAGTGTCCATGCATTGATTTGCACTACCATCAAAACTTACAATCATCCATTTCTATTTTATAACCTACCATATCTAATTCCTGTCTTCTTATATTTTCCATGCTTTATTTGCCATGGCTGTAGACAATATATGCCCAATTTAAGAAGTGCTCAATATAATTGTAATGATACCATACTGAGTTGAGAGGTCTGATATAACTCACTTCTCTATGTAAGACTTGAAGCATAGTCTGTTTCATAGCTCTCTGTTGTCGGCATGGCAACAGGCTCGCAGACTGCTCATAGAAGATCTATTTTGTTTTAATTTCCCATTCAGACTGGCCTCTTTTAGGAAAGCATCTGTTTTCTCTGAGACAACTCAGGTTTTGACAATACAAGACTATTCACCACACAGTTGCATACATGGCCTTGCCAGAGATAATGAAAGCCTGGGGAAAGCATAAGTGGGTCAGAATAGTCTCGTGGGCTTCTAACTAAAGATTTACACTTTGCATCTTATGTAGAATACCAATGATACAAATGCAAAAGTGTCTGAAAAAAAGTTTTTTGTTTGAGAGATCATCCCTTGTGGTACCCAAGTTAAAAATATATTCAAATGAGGACTATAATTCTGTTCATCCATTCTTTGTTATATTTCCTCTCCCAGGCAATGCTCCTCAGTGATGTGGATTCTCCTGTACAAGTGACCAGGAAGTCAAAGCATGTAGTGGCATGCATTGTAAGATAATTACTGTAACCGCTATCACTAAAGTATCATTATCAAACTTGTCAGTTCTAGCAGCTTGTGTGTATGGTTCTCTTCATCTCAATTATATTTTACTTACTTCAGTACAAGGTAGCATCACATAAATACTTGTGGATTACAATGACTGTTGAACACTTTTCTTCTGACCATCATAATAAAGTTAATATGGCTTTGACCATGTCTTCCAAACCTCTGTTCCAGTCAGATGAGAGCCAGGGGGAGGTGGAGGCAATGTCTGACGATGACTTCCAGAATACGTCTATTCGACAGCTAAGAGTGCCCCCACCTGTGGCTGTGAAACCATCAGCATCGCATGGGAAAGCTAAGGTCAGTCAGGGGTCAAATACTTCTCACATATGAGAAGTGGTGGCCAGTAGCCCAGGTCATTTTAAGTGTCTGTTGTTGTTCAACTACCTTCTCTGTTTGTTGACGAATTGCTCCAACCTCTCCAACCTCTGTCTGTCTGTGTCTTTTGGAGGGTTTGGGATAAAGCAGAAGACACATTTTTGTTGGTCATACACTACCGGTCGAACGTTTTAGAAGACCTACTCATTCAAGGGTTTTTCTTTCTTTTTTTAACTATTTTCTACATAGTAGAATTATAGTGAAGACATCAATACTATCAAATAACACATATGGAATCATGTAGTAACCAAAAAAGTGTTAAACAAATCATAATGTATTTTATATTTGAGATTCTTCAAATAGCCACCCTTTGCCTTGATTGACAGCTTTGCACACACTTGGCATTCTCTCAACCAGCTTCACCTGGAATGCTTTTCCAACAGTCTTGAAGGAGTTCCCACATATGCTAAGCACTTCTTCCTTCTTGGTAAAATAGCCCTTACACAGCCTGGAGGTGTGTTGGGTCATTGTCCTGTTGAAAAACAAATGATAGTCCCACTAAGCCCAAACCAGATGGGATGGCATATCGCTGCAGAATGCTTTGGTAGCCATGCTGGTTAAGTGTGCCTTGAATTCTAAATAAATCACAGACAGTGTCACCAGCAACGCACCCCCACACCATAAGACCTCCTCCTCCATGCTTTACGGTGGGAAATACCCATGCGGAGATCATCCATTCACCCACACCGCGTCTCACAAAGACACGGCGGTTGGAACCAAAAATCTCCAATTTGGACTCCAGACCGAAGGACAAATGTCCATTGCTCGTGTTTCTTGGCCCAAGCAAGTCTCTTCTTCTTATTGGTGTCCTTTAGTAGTGGTTTCTTTGCAGCAATTCGACCATGAAGGCCTGATTCACACAGTCTCCTCTGAGAAGTTGATGTTGAGATACTTCAACTCTGTGAAGCATTTATTTGGGCAGCAATTTGTGAGGCTGGTAACGCTAATGAACTTATCCTCTGCAGCAGAGGTAACTCTGGATCTTCCATTCATTTACATTTACATTTACGTCATTTAGCAGACGCTCTTATCCAGAGCGACTTACATTATTATTCTATATATTTTTTTTTTTTTTTTTTTCATACCCCCTGTGGGAATCGAACCCACAACCCTGGCGTTGCAAACGCCATGCTCTATCAACTGAGCTACATCCCTACCGGCCATTCCCTCCCCTACCCTACCCTGGACGACGCTGGGCCAATTGCGCGACGCCCCATGGGTCTCCCGGTCACGGCCGGCTACGACAGAGCCTGGATTCGAACCAGGATCTCTAGTGGCACAGCTAGCACTGCGATGCAGTGCCTTAGACCACTGCGCCACTCAGGAGACCATTCCTGTGACGGTCCTCATGAGAGCCAGTTTCATCATAGTGCTTGATGGTTTTTGCGACTGCACTTGAAGAAACTTTCAAAGTTCTTGAAATTGTCTTTATTGACTGACCTTCATGTCTTAAAGTAATGATGGACTGTCGTTTCTCTTTGCTTATTTGAGCTGTTCTTGCCATAATATGGACTTGGTCTTTTGTTTAACACTGCTTGGGTTACTACATGATTCCATATGTGTTATTTCATAGTTTTGATGTCTTCACTATTATACTACAATGTAGAAAATAGTAAAAATAAAGATAAACCCTTGAATGAGTAGGTGTTCTAAAAATGTTGACCGGTAGTGTATGTATATTGGACAATAAAGTAATCTTCTCCGTCCCAGCAGGTCGTGCAGCACCACCACCGAGGAGCCCGTAACTTTCTGGACGAGGAGGCGGTGCTGTCCGAGGAGGGGGAGGTGTCGTCTGATGAAGAGGATGGTGAAGAGCAGAACCAGTCACTGGAGGGCTTCGTCGTGAGCAACACCCAGTGCTCCCAGGGAATCAATGGTGAGTGGGACAAATATAATAATTTTAACAACAATATGGGTTTTATACAGCGCTTGTCATGGACCCAAAGTCTCTTGTTATGTTATACAGTTGTTATACAGGTAGTCACATATTATACAGTTCATTCACTAGGCACGAAATAGAAGAAAGTGTTTCTAAAACAGGGAGATATCTAATAAGAAATGCTCAGTTTCATTCATGTACAGTGCCTTGCAAAAGTATTCATCCCCCTTGGCGTTTTTCCTATTTTGTTTCTTTACAACCTGTAATTTAAATTGATTTTTGTTTGGATTTCATGTAATGGACATACACAAAATAGTCCAAATTGGTGAAGTGAAATGAAAAAAATAACTTGTTTCAAAAAAATTCTACAAGATAAAAAGGAAAAGTGGTGCGTGCATATGTATTCACCCCCTTTGTTATGAAGCCCCGAAAATAAGATCTGGTGCAACCAATTACCTTCAGAAGTCACATAATTAGTTAAATAAAGTCCACCTGTGTGCAATCTAAGTGTCACATGATCAGTCACGTGATCTCAGTATATATACACCTGTTCTCAAAGGCCCCAGAGTCTGCAACACCACTAAGCAAGGGGCACCACCACTAAGCAAGGGGCACCACCAAGCAAGCGGCACCATGAAGACCAAGGACCTCTCCAAACAGGTCAGGGACAAAGTTGTGGAGAAGTACAAATCAGGGTTGGGTTATAAAGAAATATCTGAAACTTTGAACATCCCACGGAGCACCATTTAAATCCATTATTAAAAAATGGAAAGAATATGGCACCACAACAAACCTGCCAAGAGAGGGCCGCCCACCAAAACTCACGGACCAGGCAAGGAGGGCATTAATCAGAGAGGCAACAAAGAGACCAAAGATAACCCTGAAGGAGCTGCAAAGCTCCACAGCGGAGATTGGAGTATCTGTCCATAGGACCACTTTAAGCCGTACACTCCACAGAGCTGGGCTTTACGGAAGAGTGGCCAGAAAAAAGCCATTGCTTAAAGAAAAAAAATAAGCAAACACGTTTGGTGTTCGCCAAAAGGCATGTGGGAGACTCCCCAAACTTATGGAAGAAGGTACTCTGGTCAAATGAGACTAAAATTGAGCTTTTTGGCCATCAAGGAAAACGCTATGTCTGGCGCAAATAGTTATGCACACTCAAGTTTTCTGTTTTTATTTGTCTTATTTCTTGTTTGTTTCACAATAAAAAATATGTTGCATCTTCAAAGTGGTAGGTATGTTGTGTAAATTAAATGAATACAAACCCTCCAAAAACTACTGCTGGCTCAAGCAATACTTTACTGACACACACACACACACACACACACACACACACACACACACACACACACACACATATATATACACACACACACACACATATACACACACACACACACACACACACACTCATTGTATCTCCCTATGTGACAGATTCTGAGATGCAGGGGGTTTACCTAAAGTCAGTGAGAAGCCCTGCTGTGACTGGCAAGTTCAAAATGGTCTACAAGCAAAACCACAACATGGACATCTTCTCTCAGGTAGAATTATCAGGATTTCTTTGGTCTATTAATCTTAGGGCCGGTTTCCCAGACAGAGGTTAGGCCTAGTCCTTGTCTAAGATGCACTTTCAATGGTGAATCTCCATTGAACATTATTTTTAGTCTAGGACTTGGCTGTGTTTGGGAAACTGTCCTTTAGAGTTTTATTCTATGATTGTACCCTTTTCACTCAAGTTGACTTTTTTTCTGATGAAGGCTTTATGCTGAAATCTATAGGTGTTTAGAAATGATAAATAAAGGCTTTTTGACTTTAAAACACACTGGACCTTGGATTCTTCAAACCACTTAACCCTCGTTTGTTGGATTAGATTTTTCATTGTTTTAAAGAATCAAAGAAACGAAGTTAGCCGATTCAATCCCTTTATATCGTTTTGCTTAAGCTTCTCTCCAAACTCTGTCCATAGGTGCCTGAGCTGGACGAGACATACGCGGAGGACAGCTTTGTGGTGAGTGGCAGTGACGAGGAAGAGCTCGGCGAGGAGGATGAGGAGGTCCCATTGGAGCTTATCTTCGAGGACTCCTTCGTGGAGGGGAGGAGGCAGTACCCCACCAGACGCAAGGCGCTGATCCGAAACATCAGGGCTCAGGCTGGGACTGGGTCTGCGACTCTGGACAAGAGGGCTGCTGACCCTCAACCTAAGCCTGCTGGGAAAAACAAGCACTCCCGCATAGTGCGCTTGGAGGACTCCAGCTCAGAGGAAGAAGTGGAGAAATGTAGAAATAGTGTGAAAGCTGAAGGTGTTGCTGCCCTCTGCAGGCTGACTGCGGTACAGCAACAGAATGACTGGGTGTTTAAAGCTCCACAGCAGCAGGTGCCCCCTAATGGAACCACCAGAGCCTCCACAGCGAGCTGTGTGGTGGGGCCTAGAGTCCCCAGTGGAGCCAGGTCCTCCTCGGTGAGCTCTGTGATGGAGCCTAGAGCCCCTAGTGGAACCAGCAGAACCTCCTCAGCGAGCTCCATGAGGGAGCCCTAGAGAGGAGCAGCAGGAAGAGCGGTGTCGCCAGAGGCTCCATCAGCAGGCCCGCCTCTCTGAGGAGCTGGACTTTGAGCAGTCGGAGTCTCGGTTGTCCTCAAGTAAACAGCCACAGGTAATGTGGTAATGTATTGATCAGATATAGCCCACATGATATAGGCCAAATAGGTTGTGTTTTACACAGGCAGCCCAATTCTGATATTTTTTCCACTAATTGGTCTTTTGACCAATCACTTCAATCAATCAAATGTTTTTATAAAGCCCTTTTTACATCAGCAGATGTCACAAAGTGCTATACAGAAACCCAGCCTAAAACCCCAAACAGCAAGCAATGCAGATGTAGAAGCACGGTGGCTAGGAAAAACTCCCTAGAAAGGCAGGAACCTAGGAAGAAACCTAGAGAGGAACCAGGCTCTGAGGGGTGGACAGTCCTTTTCTGGCTGTGCCGGGTGGAGATTATAAGAGTACATGGCCATTTAAGGCCAGATTGTTCTTCAAGATGTTCAAACATTCATAGATGACCAGCAGGGTCAAATAATAATCAGTGGTTGTAGAGGGTGCAACAGGTCAGTACCTCAGGAGTAAATATCAGTTGGCTTTTCATAGCCGAGCATTCAGAGGTCGAGAAAGCAGGTGCAGATCTTTTACAGAGCTGACCTGATTGGTCAAAAGACCAATTAGTGAAAAAAATATCTGATTGGGCTGCCTGTGTAAACGCAGCCATATAGGTCACACAGATATGTCAGATGCTAATCTAAGTACTATGATGTTAGTGAAACTGTAATAGATTCACTTAGTATCACGTACCAAGGGATATTTAGTTACTGTAAATAACAGATGTTTGAATCAGTACAGAGTACAAACAATAACTGTTCTACCCATTTTCATCCTTCAAGGCCACACTTATCCTACAATAGAAGAATGGAATAGAATCTTCCGGATTCTGGATTTCAGAAGTAGTAGTATTTCACTGTTTCCCATAATGTCTATGGTTGTGTCTTTCCCCAGGCTACCTCCTCCACCTCTTCCACCTCCTCAGTACCCCACGCCCAGAGCTCCTTCTGTCAGGCCGCCACTCTAAGTGAGCCCCCTGCCTCGTCATCAAGCCCGTCGGGCCTTGTCTCTGTACTGGTGGACAGCCGCTGTATCACAGCCTGTGTGGACGTGGTCTCCAGCCTGCGCCAGCGTTACGCTGTCACGGCCCACGTGTGCTCGCTGGACGGCTGCGACTTTGTGGTCAGTAACCGCATGGCGGTCGAGAGGCAGAGCCAGTCGGAGCTGGCCGGGATGCCGAACCGCAAACGGCTTGTGGAGAGGGTGACCAGTTTGCAGGTCCTATTTGAGCGGGTCTGTCTCATCGTAGAGAAGGACCGCACTAAACCAGGTGAGGGAGGGGGCACGCACTCACTTTTGTAATGGACCAGTTAGCTGGGATACTTCCTGTGGGTTCACTTCCTGATTTTCTACATTATGCTTGTCACATCACTTTTGTTTCATTGTGACCGAAGCCACTTGATTTAGCTCACCCAGCTTGCTGTTTTTTTCATTTGGATCCATTCCATAGAGCCATTTTTTGTTTACAAGCAAATGTCACTTTTTGAGTGATGCGTGCGCATCCCAGCACCAAAATGCTCTGTAGTAGGATGGCTAACGCTAAAGTCGGGACCTTGACAAACTTAAAGTGCAACTGCACTTCCTTATTTGGCCTAGTTTTAGATTTGGTTCATTAAGAAATGCTAGTGGACTGAATTCAAAAGTGAGTTGGTTTCGGGGTGTGGTTTGATGTGGGTGTCTCTTGTGTGTGTTCGCAGGTGGTAAGAGTTAGACAAATTATTTCACCAATTAGCTTCAGCCGGCTGGTGTGCGACCGTGGCAAAGTTGGTTTGACTTTGGATAGCCCATCTCTGGGGATACTTGGGGAGTGTCAATAAATTACACAATGTAAACGGAACAATATTTCCATGTTGCACATCTTTTAGTTGTCTCATTAAAGGCTTTCAATATTTGTATATGAATTTCTACAATCCCATAGGGATATCGAATGTCAAACCAAATTGACCATGGGTATTATGATCGGGTCGCGTGTAGCTGCGCTCCGAATGTATGATTACTTGGCTGCTGCCAGCTATAGGTATGTGGGAAGGATTCAAATAAACCCAACCCATGGAAAACTGTTACGGTATCCTTCATTACATGACATATCATTTTTTCATAATCTCGCAAACTTCAGTTTTGGACAAGACTGACTTTATGACCAAAATTATCCTATTTACACAATTTTGACACTAGAATAAATGTTTCTGAGTCGTATCGATGCCACAGGCCATTTTTATACCATGTAAATGGAAGTTTGATCAAATATAGAATGTAATGGTATAACCAGAAATATCCCACATGACAGTGTTTATAGGGTTCAACATTGTCTTTCTATCATCAGATAAACATTTTTGTAAAGTTGATCTACCGTTTGTTATTCTCCATATTTTTTACATTTTCCTCGCCTTCTTCCCATAGGTGAAGCTTCCCGTCCTTTCCAACATACACGCTACTACGACAGCACACTGGCCAGCTTGGTGCGGGCAGGCGTCCGACTCCTGGTGAGCGGGGGGCCTGAGGAGAGCGCCGCCCTACTGGCTGAGCTGGCCCGATTGGAGCAGAGGAAGGGCCAGGCCATTAGTGTGCCATTAGAGGTCAAAGGTCACCGGCAGCAGGCGCTGCTCTTCTACCAGACGCTGCCCTGCGTCAGCTATGTCAACGCCCTCAACATGAGCCACAGTTTCAGATCGGTGGGCCAGCTGGTCAACAGGTAGGAGAAATAAACTGCTACTGTTAGCATCTCTGTTAGCATGTCAGTTAGCATTACCTCTGTTATCATCTCTCTTAGCATTGTTATCTCGGTTCTCTGTTAGCCTTGTTAGTTACACTACATGGCTACATGCTCGTCGAACATCACATTCCAAAAGTTGGTCCCCCCTTTGCTGCTATAACAGCCTCCACTCTTCTGGGAAGGCTTTCCACTAGATTATGGAACATTGCTGCAGGGACTTGCTTCCATTCAGCCACAAGAGCATTAATGAGGTTGGGCAATTAGGCCTGGCTCGCAGTCGGCGTTCCAATTCATCCCAAAGGCGTTCGATGGGGTTGAGGTCAGGGCTCTGTGCAGGCCAGTCAAGTTCTTCCACACCAATCTCGACAAACCATTTCTGTATGGACCTCGCTTTTTTTGCATGGGGGCATTGTCATGCTGGAACAGGAAAGGACCATTATTCCGCCTCTACCAAACTTTACAGTTGGCACTATGCATTCGGGCAGGTAGAGTTCTCCTGGCATCTGCCAAACCCAGATTATTCTGTCGGACTGCCAGATAGTGAAGCATGATTCATCGCTCCAGAAAACGAGTTTCCACTGCTCTAGAGTCCAATGGCGGTGAGCTTTACACCACTCCAGCCGACGTTTGGCATTGCGCATGATGATCTTAGGCTTGTATATGCGGCTGCTCGGCCATAGAAACCCATTTCATGAAGCTCCCGACGAACAGTTCTTGTGCTGACGTTGCATCCAGAGGCAGTTTGGAACTCGGTAGTGAGTGTTGCAACCGAGAGCAGACAATTTTTACGCGCTTCAGCACTCGGCGGTCCCGTTCTGTGAGCTTGTGTGGCCTACCACTTCGCGGCTGAGCTGTTGTTGCTCCTAGACGTTTCCCCTTCACATTAACAGCACTTACAGTTGATCGGGGCAGCTGTAGCAGGGCAGAAATTTGACAAACTGACTTGTTGGAAAGGTAGCATCCTATGACGGTGCCACGTTGAAAGTCACTGAGCTCTTCAGTACGGGCCATTCTACTGCCAATGTTTGTCTATGGAGATTGCATGGCTCTGTGCTTGATTTTATACACCTGTCTGTCAGCAACGGGTGTGGCTGAAATAGCCGAATCCACTAGTTCGAAGCGGTGTCCACATACATGTATTGTATGTTAGCATCGCTATAGTTAGGTCTTTCTATAAACTAGGGTATCAGTAAGGATTTCCTACGCTGGACAACTTGTTACAGCTGTCGATAAGTAATTGACAATAATCGATCACTTTTTAAAATGTAATTACATTAACATATAACGGGGGAACATAGCTATATACAATCAAATTCACGATTTAATTTAAAACCCTTTGTCATCATTGGTATCTTGACAGATTTGTCCAAAATCATGTGACATAAAACATTTACTTTTCTGTCCTTCCATTTATGGCAATGTAAGTTGTCGTTAAATCATATATTAAGCTTTAATCAGTTAAATTAGACATTGAACTTGAACCCTGTATCTAGCTGTCTGACAGTTTTCTGTATAGAGATTTCAGAAATGCAGTGTAACTATGTAACATTTTGTGTCTCCTTATGTTACGGAGTGAAAACTGTTTTTATGGGCACACATATCCCAAATAATGTACGCCATTGCAAAATCGAATGCTTCTAACCAAAAGAGTCACCTTACTGTGATACTTAAAACCTAAATCGATACTGTCATTAACGTGACTCTTCAATAATTATGCATAATACTTGTTGGATGCGCATTTGGTGACGAGCTTTTTAATTATGTCGTGATATTTTCACACATCATCATCTGATCCAGGAAGGACTTTTCTGAATGACAGTCAAGTGAGGAACAGCTGTTGTGATAGCACAAGCGATACAACAACAGCCCAAGTGCTGGAAAAAAGGTGTTCGCGAGGAACGTCAGGAATATTTTGGAGACGTATTCGTTGTGCCGGTAAAAACAGATGTGGCTACTTTCATTTGTTTCCCGCAGCTTCAATTGAAGGGTGTTGCACTACTCTGTTGCGGTTAAACCATATACGATTTTTATGAGTTATAAACTGGATGGTTGGAGCCCTGAATGCTGATTGGCTGAAAGCCGTGGTATATCAGACCGTATACCACAGGTATGACAAAACATGTATTTTTACTGCTCTAATTACGTTGGTAACAATAAGGCACCTCGGGGGTTTGTGGTATATTGCCAGTATACCACGGCTAAGGGCTGTATCCAGGCACTCCGCGTTGCATCGTGTATAAGAACAGCCCTTAGCTGTGGTATATTGGCCATTTACCACACCCCCTCGGGCCTTATTGCTTAATTATACAATGGGTGGGTCTAATCCTGAATGCTGATTGGATAAAACTGCATTCCAGCTGGTGTCTATTCCACAAGTTACCACCGGCTAAATCTATGACGTTAAAATGCCTATTTACTCTGTTCCATCTGACTGCGCAATCCACTGTCTCATCAGCCCAGCCAGGCAACTTATAAACTTGATCTCCACAATAAAATGCATCTAGACATTATCTCACATTTCTTTTAGACTAACATTTAGTTTTCAACAGCGGAGAGTTGTATAAACCTTGCTGTCTGTCTCTCCGACATTTGCAACATTGTTTCAATATTCAAATTCGATCTCCAGCTGTCCCATAGTAATGAATGTGTCAGAAAGGCAGGCAGCGTTTCTCAGCCAGTCGAAATCATGAATCAGCTGGCATCATTTTTATGGATATACTGTATATACAAAAAAATGTCAAACTAAACGAAGTGCAGCTAGTTTGCAGTCTTTCTAGCTTCAGTTTGAAGTGATTGTGTGTTAGCTGTGTTGTTGGCTAGCTCCTCTGAACAACAGTGTTCTATGCCAGGCGAAATCGCGCCTCATTAGTTCATTGTTATGGATGTATCCAAATAAATATCTCTAGAAAACAGCTTATGCAAATGCAGCTACTTTGCTGTTACTCTGGCCGCACTTTTTGACGTGACTGTAAAGATTGAACGACTGGGTCGCGTCATTGGCGAGCAAACCGATAGAAGGAACGACCAGCCGGCTTGGGGAGCGACCCTAGATTTGTGTCGGGACTATATATTGTGGAAGGATGAAATAGTATGAATAAATTTATCAAAATAACGTTTTTAATGAAAATATGTCAATCATTGTTTGAATATGTTGGTAACCCGTTGTATAAAAGTGATAATGCCCTCGAAGCCTCGACTTCGTCTCGGGCCTAACAACACTGTGCCAATATATCCTCCAAACACCGGCTTCTCGGGCATTATCACTTAAGAGGACAACATCTAATGCTGGCTTCAACTTGGCTTGCCATACAAATCCTTCCATTACAAAAGGAACCTGTTTTTTGTTCGCTTTCTCATTATAAAAACAGGGATGGTGAGATTCTAATGGTGATATTAATGCTACCGCTATTCATGGTTTTATTATGTGTCCCTGCGTCGGCCACAAAGGCTACAGAAAAATTGCCATGTATGCATCCAGGCAAGTCCACATTATTCTCACATATTTTATAATGTACTAATAATTTGAATATCAATGCATGGACAAGGCCTAAAACATGCAGTATTCTAAAAGTGGTAATGACCTACTTTTTAACATTTTCTTTACACGTTTTGCATGCTTTTTTGAGGGGAGGTTCTATAATTGTATAACATTGAGGTCCTTGAAAATTACAATGAAGTCCCTGAAAGTCCTTGAATTTGACTTGCCTATGTCTGTATGAACCCTACTTAAAGGATGTATAGTCCTAGACCTATGTTGTTGTATAGGTGGAGTTATGGGACCATTTGCATATACTCCTCTAAGTACACATGTGGAACTGCATAAAAATCATTTTTATTTTTGTTTTAAACCATTTTTAAATGTTTATCCCGATGTCACACATTGGAGATTATGAATATGAAGTTGAACAATTGTGAAATTTCTCTTTAATGTGCTGCAGAATCTTTAATAACAATGTATGAGCAATATTTGATACCATCATTAGATACACCAAAAGTATGTGGACACCCCTTCAAATTTGTCGATTCAGCTATTTCAGCCACACCCGTTGCTGACAGGTGTATAAAATCGAGCACACAGCCAAGCAATTGCCATAGACAAACATTGGCAGTAGAATGGCCCGTACTGAAGAGCTCAGTGACTTTCAACGTGGCACCTTTCCAACAAGTCAGTAAGTCAAATTTCTTCCCTGCTAGAGCTGCCCCGGTCAACTGTAAGTGCTGTTATTGTGAAGTGGAAACATCTAGGAGCAACAACGGCTCAGCCGCGAAGTGGTAGGCCACACAAGCTCACAGAACGGGACCACCGATTGCTGAAGAACGTGGCGCGTAAAAATCCTCTGTCCTCGGTTGCAACACTCACTACCGAGTTCCAAACTGTCTCTGGCAGCAACGTCAGCACAATAACTGTTCGTCAGGAGCTTCATGAAATGGGTTTCCATGGCCGAACAGCCGCACACAAGTCTTAAGATCACCATGCGCAATGCCAAGCGTCGGCTGGAGTGGTGTAAAGCTTGCCGCCATTGGACTCTGGAGCAGTGGAAATGCGTTCTCTGGAGTGATTAATCACGCTTCACCATCTGCCAGTCCGAAGGACTAATCTGGGTTTGGCGGATGCCAGGAGAACGCTACCTGCCCCAATGCATAGTGCCAACTGTAAAGTTTGTTGGAGGAATAATGGTCTGGGGCTGTTTTTCATAGTTCGGGCTAGGCCCCTTAGTTCCAGTGAAGGGAAATCTTAACGCTACAGCATACAATTACATTCTAGACAATTCTGTGCTTCCAATCATGTGGCAACAGTTTGGGGAAGGCACTTTCCTGTTTCAGCATGACAATGCCCCCGTGCACAAAGCAAGGTCCATACAGAAATGGTTTGTCGAGATTGGTGTGGAAGAACTTGACTGGCCTGCACTGAGCTCTGACCTTAACCCCATCTAACAACCTTTGGGATGAATTGGAACGCCGACTGCAAGCCAGGCCTAATTTTTATTTTATTTATTTAACCTTTATTTAACCAGGTAAGCCAGTTGAGAACAAGTTCTCATTTACAACTGCGACCTGGCCAAGATAAAGCAAAGCAGTGCGATAAAAACAACAACACAGAGTTACATATGGGGTAAAACAAAACATAAAGTCAAAAATACAACAGAAAATATATATACAGTGTGTGCAAATGTAGCAAGTTATGGAGGTAAGGCAATAAATAGGCTATAGTGCAAAATAATTACAATTAGTATTAACACTGGAATGATAGATGTGCAAGAGATTATGTGCAAATAGAGATACTGGGGTGCAAATGAGCAAAATAAATAACAATATAGGGATGAGGTAGTTGGGTGGGCTAATTTCAGATGGGCTGTGTACAGGTGCAGTGATCGGTAAGGTGCTCTGAAAACTGATGCTTAAAGTTAGTGAGGGAGATAAGAGTCTCCAGCTTCAGAGATTTTTGCAATTCGTTCCAGTCATTGGCAGCAGAGAACTGGAAGGAATGGCGGCCAAAGGAGGTGTTGGCTTTGGGGATGACCAGTGAGATATACCTGCTGGAGCACATACTACGGGTGGGTGTTGCTATTGTGACCAATGAGCTAAGATAAGGCGGGGATTTGCCTAGCAGTGATTTATAGATGGCCTGGAGCCAGTGGGTTTGACGACGAACATGTAATGAGGACCAGCCAACAAGAGCGTACAGGTCACAGTGGTGGGTAGTGTATGGGGCTTTGGAGACAAAACGGATGGCACTGTGATAGACTACATCCAATTTGCTGAGTAGAGTGTTGGAGGCTATTTTGTAAATGACATCGCCGAAGTCAAGGATCGGTAGGATAGTCAGTTTTACGAGGGCATGTTTGGCAGCATGAGTGAAGGAGGCTTTGTTGCGAAATAGGAAGCCGATTCTGGATTGAATCACCCAACATCAGTGCCCGACTTCACTAATGCTCTTGTGGCTGAATAGAAGCAAGTCCCCGCAGCAATATTCCAACATCTACTGGAAAGCCTTCCCAGAAGAGTGGAGGCTGTTATAGCAGCAAAGGGGGGACCAACTCCATATTAATGCCCATGATTTTGGAATGAGATGTTCGACAAGCAGGTGTCCCCATACTTTTGGCTTTAGTGTAGATAGTAGAGAATACAATAATTAGCTACAGTAGCATTAACACTCTCTCTCTCCTCTACTTGTAGCTCTATTGAGGCTCTACAGAAGGGGGCGTGTGTGAGCCGCCCCAGAGCCGAGGAGATCTACCGCTGCCTACGCTACTCCTGTGACACCACCCTGATGACTACCAACACACCGAAGAACGGCCTTTAGCCAGCCATCACTGCTTAAATCCCCATTGACACTGATCTAAGGTCAGTTTGGCCCATTTCCTCCCTAATGGTTACTGGTTAGGATTTCAGGGGAGTTGGCTGATCCTAGATCTGTGCCTCAAGGACAATTTCCAATCTTGCTCTCAAACAGTACCTCTAATGGCATCATGGCCTTGACTTGTGTTCATTAGTCACCAAATGGAATAAAACATACTGAATAAGGGAGGGACTACCTGGACTTGTCCAATAAGAAACACTCATCTTCGTTCCCCATTTACAAAACGAACAATGCCCAGCCTTACTGTAAACATTTCTTGCACATTGAAATAAGACTTGACTCGATAACGGACACTAAGGTGAATGTACGGTATGATGAATGCAAGTTGTAAGTACTCGCTCCCTCCTATGTAAAATGTGTCAGTGCATTTCTGTTTTGTTGAACAAATTATTTAAGTTATTACAATTTCTGTTCAAATAATGGAGTAATATTTCTCTGTTCATATTTTGTTAAGAGATCAAATATATACGGTTTTGATTGCAGGAATAAAAATTCAGTATTTTTCTGTAACTCTGAGTTGCTTTATTCAAAATCAAATTCACAATGAAATCAGAGGTATTTGTTTATTATTAGTTTAAGGTAATCCGATTCAGTCAAAACACATTGACAGACATTATCCCCCAAGAATACAAAATTAAGTGTATGCACATACCTTTCTTAGTGTTAGATTCATACATTCCTCTTTGTCCAACATTAATAGTTGGTTGTATTCTGAATATTTGACTGTAACAGATATCAGTGATTTCAATATGTCTGTCTGTAGTCTCTTCTCATAGCTGAGTCTGGCAAGCAAGACGAGTCTGCCTGAACCACAAGGGGTCACCCTTTCATTACATACAGAAGACATAACGACTGAGTGGGACACGTCATTGGTCTTTCCAGTCTTTATAATAGAGTTCCCACATAAAAACATTTGACACTCTGGGACGAACATGCACTATGGTGAGATACAGTGCCTTCAGAAAGTATTCACACCCCTTGACTTTTTCCACATTTTGTGTGAATTTAAAATGGATTAAATCGAGATGTTGTGTCACTCATCTACACACATTACCCCATAATGTCAAAGTGGAATTATGTTTTTTTTTTTTATGTTTACAAATTAATAGAAAATGAAAGCTGAAATGTCTTGAGTCAATAAGTATTCAACCATTTTGTTATGGCAAGCCTCAAAATGTTCTGGAGTAAAAATGTGCTTAACAAGTCACATAATAAGTTGCAGGGACTCTCTGTGTGCAATAATAGTGTTTAACATGATTTTTAAATGAGTACCCCAGCTCTGGGGGTACGATTATCTGTAAAGTCCCTTAGATGAGCAGTGAATTTCAAGCGCAGACCAAGGAGGTTTTCCAATAGTTTGCAAAGAAGGGCACCGATTTGGTAGATGGCAACAACAACAGAAAAGCTGACGTTGAATATCCCTTTGAACATGGTGCAGTTATTAATTACACTTTGGATGGTGTATCAATACACCCAGTCACTACAAAGATACAGTGGGGGAAAAAAAGTATTTAGTCAGCCACCAATTGTGCAAGTTCTCCCACTTAAAAAGATGAGAGAGGCCTGTAATTTTCATCATAGGTACACGTCAACTATGACAGACAAAATGAGGAAAAAAAATCCAGAAAATCACATTGTAGGATTTTTAATGAATTTATTTGCAAATTATGGTGGAAATAAGTATTGGTCAATAACAAAAGTTTCTCAATACTTTGTATACCCTTTGTTGGCAATGACACAGGTCAAACGTTTTCTGTAAGTCTTCACAAGGTTTTCACACACTTGTTGCTGGTATTTTGGCCCATTCCTCCATGCAGATCTCCTCTAGAGCAGTGATGTTTTGGGGCTGTCGCTGGGCAACACGGACTTTCAACTCCCTCCAAAGATTTTCTATGGGGTTGAGATCTGGAGACTGGCTAGGCCACTCCAGGACCTTGAAATGCTTCTTACGATGCTTTGTAGACCTGCACCAGGCTGGGAAGACTGAATCTGCAATAGGTAAGCAGCTTGGTTTGAAGAAATCAACTGTGGGAGTAATTATTAGGAAATGGAAGCCATACAAGACCACTGATAATCTCCCTCGATCTGGGGCTCCACGAAAGATCTCACCCCGTGGGGTCAAAATGATCACAAGACCGGTGAGCAAAAATCCCAGAACCACACGGGGGGACCTAGTGAATGACCTGCAGAGAGCTGGGACCAAAGTAACAAAGCCTACCATCAGTAACACACTATGCCGCCAGGGACTTAAATCCTGCAGTGCCAGACGTGTCCCCCTGCTTAAGCCAGTACATGTCCAGGCCCGTGCTAGAGTGCATTTGGATGATCCAGAAGAGGATTGGGAGAATGTCATATGGTCTCTCTCATCTTTTTAAGTGGGAGAACTTGCACAATTGGTGGCTGACTAAATACTTTTTTCCCCCACTGTATATCCATCTACCAATAGGTGCCCTTCTTTGTGAGGCTTTGGAAAACCTCCCTGGTCTTTTTGGTTGAATCTATGTATGGAATTCACTGCTCAACTGAGGGACCTTACATATAATTGTATGCTTGAGGTAAAGTGATGGGGTTGTCATTCAAAAATTATGTTAAAAACTATTATTGCACACAGCGATTCCATGCAACTTATTTGACTTGTTAAGCATATTTTTACTCCTGAACTTATTTAGGCTTGCCATAAAAGGGTTTGAATACTTCACTCAAGACATTTCAGTTTTTAATTATTTTGAAAAAAATCTAAAAACATAATTCCACTTTGACATTAGGGTTATTGTGTGGCAAAAAGACACAATTTAATCAATTTAAGGGCAGCAGGTAGCCTAGCGGTTAAGAGTGTTGGATCAGTAACCGAAAGGTCACTGGTTCGAATCACCATGGCGACTAGGTGAAGAATCGGCCGATATGCCCTTGAGCAAGGTACTTCATCCGAATTGCTCCTTTTAAGTCGCTCTGGATAAGAGTGTCTGCTAAATGTCTAATGTAAATTCAGGCTGTAACAAAATGTAGAAAAAGTCCAGGGGTGTGAACACTTTCTGAAGGCACTGTACGTGTTCCTTTCAGTGATGGGGTCATTTTGTTGCTTAAACCATTCAAAAGATGGCACCACATTTGTAGGAAAACAGAAAACCGCTGTGTTTATTACAACCGCATCTAGTGGCAATTTAAGTTTCTCTCACGACCCCATTTTCAAATCCCCTAATTTGGGAAACGCTGATGTAGGGTATCTTAGTGGAGATAGGGGTTTGTTGCCATCAACAGGACTCAAAACCAAACCAGCATTATCAGAGCATTTCAGATAATTTCCTTGTTTTGCCCTAGAATAAAGATACACATTCTTGGACCTAGGTTTTGCCTTCAAAAGCAATGTCTGCCTGTTCCCTTCAGTTTGAGTTACACCTATTCTAGATGGATACTGATATGCACTGATCAACAAGATATACTTTAAGTGAGTGCTAAGGCTTAGGCCAGGATTTTTTCCGATCTGGTGTCGTTGGCAATGCACCTTTTTGAAAGGCAATGTTCCGACGTTCGCACAGACCACGTTCAATGTAAACGTGTTGCTACATATCTCGGCTCAATCTGAAATGGTGCATAGCCGACAAAGCACGATCGGATTGAATCCCGGCCTTTGGCAGACATGTTACATTCTTGTCTTGAAAAGACGTGACAAAGAAGACTCCTATTAGATAGTTTTATTCAGCCATTTCTTTTTCCACATATTGCTTTGGTTGCAAGACATGACGACCTATAAAAGAACAAACATTACACGTACAAATTAAAAGTTACTTGCCCTTTTCAAGCACTTGAGCCCTTCTGGACTCTAGCTCTGATTGGACATGTACAGTCCAACCAAGTTTCCTTTGGGAAGATGCAGATGGTTTAACACTAAGACAAAGGAAGCAGCATTCCATATAGTTGAGTTGCCCTTGAGTGTCTACGTCACACTTAAATCGGGCCGTAAAAGAAACAGGACGAGAGAAAGCACTGACCCAAATTCACAGTATAAATACATCATTCAGTACGTTACTCTATACAAGAAGTGTCATCCAGCATAGAAACTAGTAATTAGTTGTGAACCACATGCAGTTGCAATTCAAAAGGTAGGGTTGAACCTCTCCAGTGAAAGGATGCGATATCCTTAAGAGATTTGTTTACATATATCATACTTGTAGGATCGTTTCTCATAAATCATGACATGTACATAACTCAATATCAAGTTTGTATAACCACTTTTGCCCAAAATGTAACAATCAGGTTGTTAATTTCATTCGCTACATTTGCTAGGGACTGTGCTGCCTCAAATTAAGTATAATGCTACTGTAAAAAACTATTCACTCATTTCGCTGTGCAATATGGTCATACCATTTCATGCTATTAACACTGCAATAATTTCAGCATATTTGTTAATTCTGAGTGTTTCAGTAAAATAATAAGCAATAAGGTGCCACCTTTACAAGGTCTGAGACATGATTGGACTTGATGCCCATGATCGTTCTTCTTGATAATCCTAACTTTAACACTAAGAGTTGTGTAATCAGGAACCAGCTAGTGCAGACGTCACACCCAACTAAAGTCGACTGGCATTCCAACAGGGTAGATAAAAAGGTTACTCGAAAGAATCTTCACTCGTGGGCCTAAGGGTCCCTTCACACTGCTCGCCGTAAAAATCTACGCAAGGAAGTCATTTCATTGGTCCTAGCCAGCAGAATCATTGATTAGAACCAATGAAATGGCTTCCTTTCTAGCATAGTTGTTTTCCCTCCAAGCAATGTGAACGGACCCTTAATTTGGAGGACATAGTTTGGAATCCCTTGGACTCCACAGTAATGAGTCTTTTCATCGGAAAGCTTCACTTTTCTATACAGTACGGCATATGTACATACATATAAGCAGGGTTGGGTAGGTTACTTTCTAAATGTAATCCGTTGGTTACTAGTTAACCGTCAAATTCTAAATCAGTAACGTAACTTTTGGATTACTCACTTTCCTTTTAGATTACATTTCCCTTAAGATGCTTTAGAAGAAGACTAAAATGAATATTACCAATTTAATGACATCTATTGCAGGATAAATCAATGTTAAGGGTTTACATAGCTGGCCAAAAATTGATATTGCATTTTAATGACTGGAAGTCTATACGCTTCTGCTTGCAGATACCCATAGACTTCCAGTCATTGGCTCGTGAAACTACCTTCAACTTCCTTCATACTGGACACAAACATAAATGGTATCCACGAGTTCATCGGACTAATAGATAAAGGGCCTCATTGCCAAAATCTCAAAGTATCCCTTTAAACTTGTGCCTTTTTTCAATGCTGATTTGAATGTCATTGAGAAAATGGAAAGGAGTCCGACGTTTTCCCCCCAAACATCCTTTCTGAATTCAAAAGTAATCTAGTTTTTAAAAAAGTATCAAATCTGATTACAATAATTTAGCTGGTAACAGAATAGTTTATTTTTATATTCCGTTACATGTAACAGATGACATGTAATCCGTTACTCCAACCCTGCATATAAATATACTCAGCTGTGCATTCATACATGTATAAGGGTGTTTTGTCTGTAACCAGGATGACCAGTTCAGTAATCTTAGTGCTTTTTCAGTGTGATTGCTTTCTTCCCCCAGTGACAAATTAATTCACCAAAACTCTAAACAATTGAATAAAAAAAGGCTGCTCTGTACAAAACCAAGGGTCAAAAAGGGACACGTAAATATTTACAAGGGAAGTTTTCCATCTTAAAATACATCGTATAAAAATATCCTTAGTCGAGTGGTCAAGTCACTCAGGTCTCAGCAGCTTAACTGGTGCACTGTGGGACCACCTCCACTCCAGTAAGGGTTACCAGAGCAGAAGCACAATCTTCCCCAGTTCACAGGCTTGAGGGCTGGGCCTGCTGTGGGCTCGCAGTGAGTGAGGAGTGGACGGGTAGGGGCTCGCAGTCTGTGATGCCGCCCTCTTCGTTCCGCATGTACATGAGGAACAGAGTCACGGTGGCAAAGGTTGTGGCGTTGACTGGAAATGCCCGAAGCAGTGTGGATGTGAGGCCGCGCGTGAACACCCGCCAGCCCTCCCGCTTCATGCTCTGACGCACGCAGTCTGCGATGCCGTTGTACTTGTTGTAGCCACCCACGCCGTCCGCCTGGAGCCGGGATTTTATGACGTCCACGGGGTAGGTGGAGATCCACGAGGCGATGCCCGACATGCCGCCGGCGAACAGTAACTTAAGGATCATGTAGGGGTCGTCGGGCTCGCAGCCCAAGTGCCGCGTCAGGACGTCGTAGGTCAAGAAGTAGATCCCGAAGCCTGGCGTCTCACGGACCAGCGTGGTCACCATTCCCCGGTTGATTCCGCGGAAGCCCTCCTTCCGGTAGATGCGCACCAGGCAGTCCAGCGAGTTCTTGTACAGCTTCTGCTTGGACTTCCTCTCGCCCAAGCCCTGCAGCTGCATGCGTGTCTTGGCCAGCTCCATAGGGCAGCAAATGATGCTCTGCAACGCGCCCGCCGACGCCCCAGCCAGGAACTGGTTGAGCGGAGTGTCGTGGCCCAGCCTGCGCATGGCGTTGCCCTGGACACCGAACACGATGGCGTTGATGAAGGTCAGGCCCATCATGGGGGAGCCGATGCCTTTATACAGCCCTGTCATCTGTGAACACACAGCAGAGCAAGGAAGGAATAATAGGGTATTGAAGTTTAATGAAGCTGAATAACTTGGAACAAAGTAAGTCGTTTTGGATAAAAGTATCTGCTACATGGCATATTAAATATGATTATTATTTAAGCAAGACAAATCACACTTTCACTACAATACATGGTGTTCTCAAGGCCAGACTCTTCATAAAGCAATGGTGTAATGCTAATGTCCTGTATATGCCGCTATTCTACTCCTTTAATAATGATATAGCTTAACACTAGTTTTAATTGTGGAATTCGTAATCACATTGAAGCAGTCCAGCAGAATCTACCCCATTAAAACCTGCCGTAACTCCCAAGGCGGTTCTCTTAATTTAGCCACGCAGCAGGCACAACGCCCCGATTGACCCTGGCTACTGATATCTCTCCCAACCTCCTCCCTCCAGACTGGCTGATAGGCCCTCTGCTAGGCTGACGCACAAGACTGTAACGAGAGACACTTGAGTAGAGCCCTGTTCTAACCAATGGTACAACTGTAGTTGGCGCTGCACAGAGCACATGGCAATGCCTCATGGCATTGCAGAGCCAACCATCTCGAAACTGATTAATTTGAATATGAAAGGATTTCACCACTGGTGACTACCCACACACACTTCAAAAAAGTGTTTCCCCCACTACAGCAGTCTCAAACATCCGGCCCGCGGGCCACATCAGTTGAGTTCTACAGACTTGGTACTGTGAGGAACTGGAGTCGGTCACGGTGGTGGTCGTACTCACCGACTCTTGCCGTACGATAGACTGGAAGCAGTGATACGTGCCGCGGTACAGAGGTCTGTCCACACTCTGAACTTGGAGTCGTACCTGAAAATGGACACCTCAGTGTTAGTGAAAAAGCACAGAAGGCAATACTGCCACATTTAATAATACCATACACATACAAAACACAAAGGAAAAGGGACAATACACCAAAAAGTAACTATTGGCAATGTAGTGTACTAAGGTATGGGAGTTGGGTGGGGTGCAATTTGGGTGATAAGAGGTGGTGAAATTATATTGTTTTTTAAAAAAGTATTCTATGCTTGTACGTCTGGATAATATTTTTTACAAAACCAAAACACGGGGGACAAACAGAAGACCTTGACCGTACTTACTAGCTAGGTCACACATCCGTGCAGAGGTTGATTATCCCTCACCCTCATCTACAACAAAGTGACACTTATGCTGTTAAAGACAGCCCTCCCTGTTCAGGGATAAAACCAACATTGTGTCCCTCCCTCGGCTCCTTCGTAATCAAAATAAAAAAGATTATGAGTACACAACTTGGAAAAAAAGAGTTCTGTCAAATATCAAACAGGTGTAAAGTGCAAATATCCTGATACATGTGTCTTAACTTGTTGCTTAGTGATTATTGCGAGTACACATGAGTGCAAATATTTGAAGATTCAGTGTCTGCAAATTATAGCTCTTAGAAGACTAACTATATATATGAAAATACGATTTGAGGCTTGTACTGACATTTTTATAATTAAACAATTAAGCCTACCGATGCCTAGTTTCCACAGATATATAATATACATTTCATGAGAGGCTATTTTGAGCCTAAATAATTAGAACTTTATTGCTATGACTGGTATAACTTTACTAGAAATTACCTTATGGAACAAAGTCCATGTTTAAAAATACTTTGTGCCCTATGCCTTGACATGTCCCTCCGTCATCCAACCCTGTGTCAATTCTAGGAAGATTTCAACCCACTTAAGCTAAAAATGTCCAAGTTTCACCATAATTGTAAAGCCCTAGTTATTTTGTTGCTTTGACAGTTATTTCTGAAGATTATTTATTTCATGCGATTAGTGATTTATTTACATCTGCCCCTCATTTTAAGGTCAACCCTGTTATGTGAACTATTGTTTTAATATGGTAAAACTATTCCTTTTTAAATATGTTTTTCAAAAGAAACATTGAACATCAAATAGTAAATTCATAGTGTAAAAGCGGGTGAGCTGGTTCTACGCTTTTTGGGCATTTTGTGGGGGTAAACTGAGCGGGTCAAGCATAACGTTAACCCTGTTACCCATAGACAGGCTAGAAATGATTTAGCAATTAAATTGTTTTGTGAAGTTTGCATTCAATTGCCACTCCCTGTTGCATACAACAAGCTTCCAATATACCCCTGTCATGAGGGGATTTATGGCTGATTTAAGATGAAATCGTCAACCCTGTTATGGTCAACCTGGTTACTTTATTTGGCACATAATAGGCACTTACTATAGTCATTTTCATTTAACATCTTGAGATGGGAAAAAGTGTTTGAAGTTTAGAATGTGCTCTTTATGACAGAATGTTAAAATTAGGTGAAATATATTTTGTTTACCAAGTTACACTTCTCAAAAGGCACCGGATTAGTGGAACAACCCCCATAATTATGAGATAGCAAGTCTGGATCATGGACATTGAATAGTCCTGCAGGTCGACCCCTTTATTTGTTAAATAGCTGAGGAATGGGGCAGGAGAAATTTTTTACCACTCAAATACATAGATGCAGGGACTCATATGGATGCAAAGACAGACCATCCATGAGATCAAAATAAATATTTTTAACCATGTTTTGAAACTATACAGTGATTGTTTACAATTAAATTGCTTACAAATAATGGTGTAAAACAAGCTTATATTTTGGGTTCTGATGGGGTTAGACCATTACTTATGAGGCATTTCTAAGTTACATTCAAGAATCAATCGCTCTATATTAACTTTAAAGTCCAAAAATGGATGTACCAATCCCAGATTGCCCCTTTAATAGACTGCATTTAATTCAACCAGATGTCATCAAACAGGCACCAACAAAACGCTCCAATCCATTAATATGGAACAATATCACCACAAACTCTCCCACACACACAATGTGTGATTGACTATGGGATATACATAAGGTTATCCTTGAAAGTTGAGGAGGGCCTGATGTAAAGTGCACATTGGATTCATGTGATACAGACCCCTAAACATATCTTATAATTATGACCTACTATCTCATAATAATGACTCGTAGTAAGATGTTTTGGTAGTGGGAACTGGGATCCATACTTCCATAGATGTCACTAGGTCAGAAAACAGCCAAAATACCCACATTTGTGTGGTCTGGGAAAAAAAGTTCAGTTTACTATTTGCAAGTAGTAGCTGAGAAAATGTGGTTCTTGAAATGTTTTGATTGGAAAAGAGCATTCATAGCCTATTTCATTATCAAACGCTTTCGGTCATTTGTATTCACGGGCTTAATAAACCCCACGGTAGCTGAATATTAATTACATTTCAGTGTGATTTCTAAGAAAAATACACACGTGCCAGGCATTTGCCAACAAGAAAACATAAACCCACCTTTACGGTATCAAAAGGATGCCCAACCAAAACACCGGCAGCACCTGAAAATGACAAAGAGCTGTTAGTCAGCACTTGCTTGTTTGATGCAGTTGATTTCTGTTAAGTAATGTAGGCTATACTAAGTTAAAGCCATGTGAAACTGACAGGAAAAACAGAAACCCCTAATTGCAAAACCGGATAACAGAGAAAGAGTGGTGAATAACTCTACAGTAAAGATACAATGGAGATGCTGTCCACTGCTTATCAGTCTTTGAGCCAAGCCATGATTAAAGTTGGAACCACTGAGGTATGGTTGCAACACTGAGTGGCGGGTGCATGTTAGAATATCAAGTGGATCACACACAAGAACAAACAGCCTTCTCTAGACTGCCATCAGCTGTTGTTCACTGTACCCATGTCCTTGACATTATTGCTAGAGAGAGGAAAATGCAATACTGTGTCTGACACCACCTGTGTGCGTCACAGGACAAAACCTGCCTAGGGCAGTTTCAGATTAGGGTAGGCCAAGGTAAGGGGCAGTTTTATGTGTTCTGGCTTGGTGTTTGAGTGAGTGAAGTGACAGTGCATGCTGAAAGATGACCCTACTGAACATTTGTCTGACTCCTACTTGCAAGACATTATCAGTAGCTGAGACAGTATCACAATAATGCTCAATTATAGTTTATTAATCAATAACTGTCTGTCTGGCTAACCGGACAACATTCATATAATTTGAGATGGAGGTAGGGTTAAAAGCAAATATAAATATTTGTAGGAAGTCAGGAAAATAACTTCCTTTGGAGAAGAATTTTAATGTCATTTAGCTAGATAGGTCCTATTTCACAACTCCTCCAAGGTCTAGAAATACACCTTGTTTAATTTGTATGTAGCTTGATTGGTGCTTGAGGGACTGCCCATTTCACCACTACCAACTATGAGCACATTATTTGGATTGAAATGAATGTAATTGTTTGGGTGTGTGAACATTAAAAGGTTATCAACAAGAGATTATATAGCTAAGAAACCAACAGGTTTAGCCAGCTAAACACATTTAATATAGGGATTTAAACAACAATGGGGACAAGAAAGTTCTAGACTAATAGACTAGACACTCAGTACTCAGTATTTTTCCATTCATTAACCTACTTTTTTTGTAAACTTGCGTCATCACTACTAGGCATATTTCTTCATTAGCTAGCTAACGTTGCTAGCCATGAATCATTAATAATCCATTCAAAACGTTTCCAACCCAACGCATTTTGCAAACCCTTTCCATGACTCAGTGTTGCTGCCACGTAGTAATCATAGAAGCAATATATCCAAGGGTGTGCTTGCTAGCTAGCTATAGTTTTTAACTTACCTCCTATGCATCCTGCCGCAAAGTCCAATGTAAAGTCCATTCCCTCAGTCTTTGAATTAGTCAAAAGATAGTTAGCGGTCAGCGAGCCTGTATTTCTTCTTCGTAGCACAAGGGGCTAGCCAATTCAAAGGTCTGGCTTGGTGCAATACAATCTTGTAACGCTTCAAGCTAGCCGAATAATTTAGCTAGCTATCAATTTCCACCTGTCGTTTGTTGGCTGCATCTGTAACGTTAGCTATCTGCTAGTTGAATTGCTAACTTGCTAGCTAGATCTAGTCTCCTATTGAATGAGAGCAGTTAGCGAGGGCTGTTGATGATATTACTGACACTGGCTACCCAAGTGGGCTCGTGAATAAGCTAGATAAATAGCTTAATGTGCATGCTTTAATTTAATTTTTGAATTGAGGCTCTCCCACAGTTAGCATGCTCCCACCAACTGTGTCTTCTATTTCTGTACATCGTGTGAAGTTCAAAGCCCATTTTGAGGAAGCATTTAGCCCAATCGGATCACTGTGACGAAGACAACACCCCTACCGCCCCCACACTCATTGACTCGAGGTGATTTTGCATGGGGTTCAAAAGCTGTGATTACAGTACTTTACTGCTCCAAACAACTGATTTATGATCAGCTCTCCCCAAACTAGTCTAACCCTTTACCTTTAGTATAGGACCCAAGTAACAAAACAGACCTTGGACCAGATGTTAGGGATCAAATATGGTAAATTGTTGACCAATACACATTCAAGATTGCAACCTTTATAGCGTTTTAGACATTCTGAAAAAAACTCTGGGGGAAACTACTCACTGTATGGTCAAACCAAACATTGTATAAAAGTAGTTATTGTTGCATTTCATTTTTTAAGTGGCAAATGTATTAACATTGTAGTTCACATTGACATATTCAACTGTATTCTTGAAAGTGGAGAAAGGTACTCGTGCTTTTATAATTCTTTATAATTATGTGAATCTTTGTTGGGGGGATTTTATCCTTTGGGATTTTGAGACATTGTGACATTTCAGCAGTGCTTGTTAGTATACCTGCCAGACGTGTAATCCCTTTGGTTTGCACAACTAAAGTATGACTTCTTGTCGTCACTGATCCCTGGCCCTCCCATGCTTGACAACTGGCCCTCCCATGCTTGACAACATGCCCATGTTTTTGTATCTCGTATCATATTAAATCACATGAGAGAGGGAGGGAGGGGGCGGTTCTTGGACCTTACCTCTCCACTTTAGAAAGTCATAATATGATGTATCATATGATGTGTTTATCTTACTGGGAACACTGATGCGCTATGTCCTTGCCTGTTGAGTAAAACATTTACTGCATTATTATCATGACATCTTTGGCATGAGTCCTGCAATCTCTGATTATTCTTAATTCAGACACAATGAAAACATTCTTTATACAATAATTATTATCTATATATTTTCCAATGAATTCAGTATTACAGCTCGTGATGTTTTCTCAAACCCACAACTTGGCTCAGGATGTTTGTTGCTGTATGGTTAAATGCACAAAATAATGAGATTATTGTGGATAGTCAGATTAATGTTATAGTTCGATTAAAACGTTTACATGCTTTGCAAGAAGAACGATTTTCAAACAGAACGATTTGCCCCGTCGTAGCTGATCCTCAATTAGCCTACCCCATTCATATACCCTACCCCTTTCAGACATATGGAATGTGTTTGTCTGAAAGAGCACACTAAACGCCACTGAACGAGCATTTAACTTGTCTAGAAAGGAATGCCGCTTCTGAACAGTGGAGAAAAAATAATCGATTCCTCGACTCCTTGCCCGTCGACTCCCGGTGTCAACTTTAATTTCTGGGTGTCAAGCTTAAATTCCGCTAAGGATCGACTCCTCGACTCCTAAGATTCAGTATTTTTCAAACGGAGGAAGCTATTTTCCGTAGTCTCCTTCGAGAACACAAACTCTCGCATATTTCACAGCAAAGAAAGAGCGAGCTAGCGAGGGAGAGAGAGAGATGGGAGGGGCACAGCCAGGCAAAGCAGCCACCAGGCAGAACTGTGCATCCGTAATCAAAAGATGTAGGCGATAGGCTGTCGCAGTGTTGTATTTCGCAATTTCTTGGCTTGCAATGTCTCGCGCAAATTCACTAAAGTAGGGGCTAAATCAATGAGTAGGCTGAGCTATTCTACACGCAACAGACCGAAGACTAAACACACACTAGCGTTTCTCACAGCGAAGAGAAATGGGAGCAGGCGAGGGAGAGAGGATCGGGGAAGACAGAGACGGTCAGAACCGTGCGCATAGGCTATATTTACATTTACATCATTTAGCAGTCGCTATATCATGGTAATCTGTATCTCGCAATGCCTCAAATTCACCTAAAGTATATTAAAGTATATATTAGGCTATCAATGAGTATGGCAAAGCTATTATGGCAAAGCTATTATTCATAGTGCCAGTGAATTGAAGTTGAACATCGCCAAATGCATCAGTTTAATTATGTGCAATAAAAAATGTTGACTATATCTTATTTAATGAAACCCTAGCTGTCTGTTGATGTCCTAGCTTAGGGCTCTCCAACCCTGTTCCTGGAGAGCTACCTTCCTGTAGGTTTTCGCTCCAACCCAGGGACGGCCTGTTCAATAGGGCGATATGGGCGACGCACTGCCAAACGGGAAAAGGAAGGGATTTTTTTTTCTAATCAATTATATCACGGCAACAGTAGTTATCAGTGTTGTAATCTATACGTCTGATCTGCCACAGTGCCACACTGCCACTAAATGTCGAATCAGGCTAAAGTCGTGCTTCAAATGGCTCCACCCCCTTTTGGGGCGATTTCAGTCAGATTGAAAATCGCCCAGAACTTCTGTCATAGACTCCCATGTAAAATCTATTTTTTTCAAATTTCAGAGCCTTCAATACAATCTCAATGGGTGTCTGTGGGCTTGCACTTACGCGCTTTCGTCATACGTTACGTAACCATGAACGTAACTGAGAAAAGAGTGGATTGTTTGAAAGAAGTTCCTTTTTGTCGGCGAACAAATGAAAATAAATTGGCAACGAAACAATTAGGACCTCCCAGACCAAATTTAATAATTCAACAGGTTTCTACTAAAGGCGGAAAGTCCTACACCCGAGGATTTTCCAAAAATTGGTACGAACGAAAAAAGACATTGCCACTCACTCAACTGGATGACGAGGGATACAGGCTAGCTGTCCGCCGCCACAACGATGAGGTTAGTGTTGATAATCACAAGTTTACTGGATGTGGATATGGTGTAATAAAGGCAGTTTATTCAGAGGTAAATATATCTGGAATCGCGTTCACGGACCCGTTCGTCAAACTCTTAAAAATGAACTTGGGCTGGGAATTGCCAGGAACCTCACGATAAGATATATGCATCAGCATTGCGAGTCTCATGATTCTATACGTATTGCGATTCGATACTGTGATTTTATTGCGCACCATATGTCTGTTGCAGAGGGATCAGAAAGCCATGAGAACGAGTTTTGATCAGTCATGGAAATAAAAGTGCTGAAAACAAATTGGCTCCCAATGTGAGAACAAGCTATGAAGGAACAATAATGGTGTTTTGGTGCAGGTACAGCCAACTAGCGCTAAAATATTGCGATATTGTCAATACAGTATATCGTAAAGTATCACTATGTAACTCGATTTCTTTCACCCCAATCCCTCAAATTAACGGTAAATAACTGAATTGTTTGCCCCACATTTAGCTAAGATGATTAGCTAGCCAGCTAAAATGTTTTAGTTAGTTAGCAGTCGCATCTACAATAGTTTACTGTCAATAACATGTCTCCAAAAATGACGTGGTGTCTCCAATTGTGTTGACATTTTACAATTGCAATGCGCATCCATGAGTATCCACTTTCTGTAGCTCAGCTGGTAGAGCATGGTGCTTGTAACGCCAAGGTAGTGGGTTCGATCCCCGGGACCACCCATACACAAAAATGTATGCACGCATGACTGTAAGTCGCTTTGGATAAAAGCGTCTGCTAAATGGCATATTATTATTATTATTATTATTATTATCTGAAGAGAGCCCCGAAACATTGTGTGCAGACATTTTATGCAATAAATGAAGTAGGTTCAATCTAGTAGTTCTGATCTTCTGATTGGTCCTGATGAGTTGGGCGAGGTCCCCTGCAGGCTACTGTCACTGTTGCATTGGCTCTGAGTCGGGTTCTCTGTCTTCAAATGTTCAGCCTAAGAGAGGGGATTTTTGTGTGTGTGTTTAACAGTGATGATGTGTGTGTGTGTGTTTAACAGTGATGATGTGTGTGTGTGTGTGTTTGTGTGTGTGTGTGTCCTCAGAGCAAGAACTCGTGAGTTGGAAGAACTGAGAGGCCTATGGCGTGGGTGTTGTCCTTGGCCACCTGCTGACAAGGCTGACAAGATAGGACCCTTTTGTCCATTGTTATTGGATAGGAACAGAACTTATAACCAGCTCCTGACCTAAATAGATCTTAGCACAACATTTTACTCAACATATCATATTCCATATTCACTATAACAAATATATTTACTACGACATTAGCAAGAACCGCCACATCCTCAGCCGGCTAATCCAGTGTGTGAAGTTTTGCGTGTTTGAGTTAGCTTTGCGAGGCAAAGATGAAACTGAGGGCTCCACCAACCCTGGTAAGCCAACACTTTTGAGATCAGTCAATAAATGCTTCTGGTATTGACTTATATGCTGCCCCTGTCTTCATGTTGTTGCTGGACATATCTTTTTTTAAATGTGTGTAGGTCACCTAAATCATCAGAAAAATTGCCCCTCCTGAGAATTTTTTCAGGAGCCGCCACTGCTCCAACCCCAGTTGTAACTAACCTCATTCAGTTAATCAACCAGCTAATTATTTAATCCGATGCTAGATTAGGGTTGGATTGAAAACCTGCAGGATGGTGGCTCTCCACGAACAGGGTTGGAGAGCCCTGTCCTAGGCAATAGATCGCAAAGCAGCATCCCCGCTAAACTTTTTGGAAATTGCAAGTTCACGTTCTCATCCATAAACACTGTCAAGTGCAAATACGGTTCAGCAGCTGAAATCAGCAAGATGTGGGGCATTGTTATTAGGAAGGACGTCTACCATGGATGGATCGCTAAAATAATGATTATGATCACAATTCATTAATTTAAATATTATGGGGAGACCTATACATTTGGCAGCCAAACAAACACGAGTTATCAGTGAAGCCTATTATCGTCTAGACATGACGTTGAAATCTCTTCAAGCCTACAATAAAAACCTCCAGGCTTCCGTCATACAAGTCAACGCAATTTGAAATAATTACGAATGACAGGGCAGTCTGGAAAAACTAATCCTGTGTGCATCGTCCTCTCCTCTGGAATAACGCACATGCTTGGATAATCATTACAAAACCAACATCTCTATTAAAACCTGTCCGAATAGGGCTATAACATGGCAAAGAATAGGTTTATCAGCG